ACTATCACAGAGGATTATCACATTCCACACTTAAGCCTGTCCCCTCCAACGACTGTTCCCAACTCTTACTTGGCTTTGAAGCTCAGTTCTGCCACTTCAGATCTAAGGAAGTCATTGGGTACCCCCAAAAGACAATCTATTGTTTTCAATTGTGATAGTTACTGCAATAAAAGATCTCGCCTTTCTCCCAAAACCTTTCACACCCGTTTCTCCATGGGAATGTTTCTTCTTGCACATTGTTGGCCTCACAACACTTGATCTTAAACTTGAAACCAAGTATTTTGCCAGAACAATTAAGGTTCCAATCCTCCAAGCACTTCTCCCTGCAAGTCTCCCCACCAACTTACATCCATGCATAACGACCACACATCCGAGCTAATGCTTGGAGGATCAGGACCATAGGTAAAGCATCAGTTGTAATATGTCTGGTTGTAATACATCTGTGTCCAAACCCATTAAAGATGACAAGGAGCCTATGGAAATCAATCTTGCTTTATGAGTAATTTGATATTTGTTTAGGTTAAGTTTATCTTGAAGTGATTTTTCAAAGAGCTAAAGAAAGCACACACAAGGAAAGAAAATGCTGGAGCAAAGACACCTAAAATAAAATAACACTGCTGCTTAAGTAGTTTGAGAGAACCCATATCAGGCTGGATTACAGGAACAGGCAAAGATTACAAAACAAAGAGGGGTTTATTTCTTTACAAGGCTCTCCCCACCCTTTGTTTTTGTTTCTTTTCTGTGCAGAAAGCTCCTGGTGTTCCTCTGCCTAGAACATACAGCCATCAGTCATGCCTTCTCTGTGCACAGCCCACATCCTTTCTTAACCTGAAAAGAGTTAAACACTCCTTTTTCTCCAAACAACAATTTCTTATTTTCGTGACGAGGCCTTTTATGTAATTAGCTAGAGAAGTGACGGCCAAAAGGAAAGAATAGCACATGTAAAATCTTGCCAGAGAGTAGAGTAGGTAGTAACTTGTTGAGTCTATTACCAGGCAAAATGTTTAAATCAACAGTATGTTCCTCATAAATCAGCCATATTTAGCCTTAACTATAACCATCCCTGAGCAATGTGGGATAGAGAGAAAACACGCAAGGAAAAATTCTGATTCTCTGGTGATGCTCCTGAAATGAGAAGAGGAGGAAGCACCAGATGAGACGAGCACAGTGCACAGACATTGTTCAGACAAGGAATTGCTTTTACAAGTCGGAATTAAGGTATCGGAGCATTCAGTGCCAAGCAGAGACTTGCAGTAGGCTGCCAATCACACTGACTCACACCAAGTCTGGTGGTGATTTGGAGATGTTTAAGAGCCATTCGAACCTCATTAAAACCCAGACACATATATGGCTTGTACGCTAAAACAAATTTGAGCCCTCAAGTGCTAGAAGTCTATGCTACATGACCAAAGACAAAGGTTTACATTGCAGACCATGAAAGACCATTCTTTTTCAATTACCTTTGACAGATCCAAGTTATAATAAGAGGAATAACTTTGGAAAAGGGGAGAGCAGTAACTGTGAACCAGAGAGGAGAGCAGAATGTAGCTGGAGTAACAACACGAGAATCTCATTACATCCTTTTCTTACTTAGCTAGGAGTGGAAGATGGTCTCTTCACTCCTCCATCTCTGTTCATCCCCTTATTCTTCCAGCGGAACCGCAACAAGGCAAGTTTGACTTGCCTTGGAACCAGGTGCTCCTGACACATAGCATACCTCTCAGATACATACACATTCCAGTACCTAACCTTTCTACATTCTCCACTCCCCCTCAATGTGCAACCAGACTTTCTGACCAATTTTTAGTTTTTACATATTATTCTCTTCACAGTGACATGTAGTGAAAGCATCGGGGTCTATGAACTTTGCAGGTAATCTGTCTATAGTGACTGGCACGCAAAGGAAGTGTCAAGGTAGTAATGAACACCAAAGATAAATACCAGGCAGACTGGAGGAAACACAGCCAGGTAGTTTTCTTTTTCACTCAACCAAAAGAGCAATCTAAATAACAAATACCAGCCTGAGATTCTCACCCAGTGATCTCTAACGGGCTAAAGTTTGACAGTGACTGTAGCTGCATCTCAGTTTTTGGAGTACACAAACAACTCAGGTGCCTGTATAACGCTGCTCTAGTCCCCAGTTTGATTTTCAGGCTTGTTGCTGACTGTGGGGAAACTCTGCAGCTCCACCTTCTGCAAGTTTTGGTTCAGAGTGTGGTGGTGCCTTTGATGCCAGAGATGGAACCAAGGATTTCAGACATACAGCCCTCCTCTACACTGCACCCTCCTGGCTCCACAGAACAAAACAGCATCCTAGGCTCAGGCTTGGAGCAAGTTCCTACATCATCTGTTTTTGTTTTCTTTCAGTATTATTGCCTTAGAACTGGCTCTGATCATGAATACTTCATTGTTTCTTGGATGTTTCCAGAGGGGAGGGCAGTTTAACATTACATGAACAATTATTACTATAAAGCAACCTCAAAAGTCATTCCACATGTTTGGAAGATCCTAGTTCAAGGGCTGTTCCCTCTTCGACGTGGAACATGCTGGGTGGAATTTCTTACACCATATAACACGCAGTGCATCTGATGGAACAAGGATATAGGAACATCCCTGGGTGTTCACAAAGCACGCGTTGTCCACTTTTGTCCTAATGTCTTGCCATTATCAGCAACTGTAAATGAGCTTATGCAAAATGTAACTTTAGGCCCAGTTGAATCTGAAATAATATCTTACAAGAAGTGCGTGAGACTACCCAGCGTGGTGGTGCTTTGAGTAAACTGCTGCCAAAAAGTGAACAGGGAAAGAAAACTGTGATCCATTACCTTTAAAATGGACTTCTGACCAGGAAGATCAATTACTGATTTTTTTTCTATACAGATTTACAGGCAGATTCTGAATCCCTGAGTTAAACTCTGCAGGTTTCATAAAGAAAGGAATCTGATTATAAGGGTCATGCATGGGCATTTCCAGGCATTACAAGACGAAGTTGTAGGCCTTTAAAACTAGAGGAAAAATAGTAAAATCCAGAAGAGGTCTGACAGGGAAGTGAAACAAGAACAATGCTCTGAGGCTGTTGGGCAGCAATTGATATACTAGGCAACAGTACACAGGAAAGGACAAAGCCCAGAAAGAAAAAAACAGATGTCCCTGAAGAATTAGCATGCCTGAAATGTGCAGTAGTTGTCTGCTCCCAGGTCAGTGATGACCATGGGAACTTATTCTGTATTGCCCTCAACCAAAGACCCAGTCCCCAAACAGCTGACTGGTTAGTAACGGGCTGATGCTCTTTTTCCTCCATTTGTTTCAAAAGATTGGCATTACCTTCTCTTAACCTCAAGCTATTTTGCAATGTAAGCTCTTACCGTAGCTGCTACAAAAACAAGAGCTACGTCATCCTAAACAGCTGTACCAGGAACAAAAAAAATCACACAGAAAATACAGGTTATGGACAAATACAACTTGCTTCCAAATTGGAGAGTGACAGAATTCATTCAGCACTCAGATATAAACTTAGCATACATATCCAAAGGATAAATAGTTGTCTGCAAGAGCTGTAAATGATTTCAAAATGAAGAGCTAGAAAAATAGCAAATGCAGCACTAGTAAATACTGAAAGCTGGCACTGATACTACATTCAGTGGGTGGTGGGCTCCAAACTGGTTCTTCACCCACAGTGCATATTGCCTTTCCTTCCTTCCAGCTGGTGTTAGTGAAATAGCAACAGCCTTAACAGCAGATTTTAAGACTTTTTTGTTGCTGTAAGCCAGACTTGTAGCAACATTTAAAATAAAAGTGCATGTAACAAAATTGAGCAATTTTCTGCCTGTTTTTTTTTTTTAAAAGATCTAAAATTAAATAAACTAAATGATGCAGTCTTTTGAGGCCAAAAGCCCATTCTTATTAGATTAAAAAAAATCACTAACAATGCCACCCCTTTGTTGATGCAGGACTGGTTTCTGGGAATGCAAGGGACAAAGTTTTACATCTGTTTGCATACAGAACTAGTAATTGTTGAACGTGCAAGTCAGGGCTTACAAACACAGATGAATGTTTGTTTATTCTTTTCGAATTGGTATTACTTTAATACCAGCTAGGGATCCAAACCATACACGTGGGTCTGAGCTCAACATTGAGTGCAGCGTAACTGTAGATGAGGAAAGTCCCTTAAGGTACCAGCTGTTTTTTTAAAAAATTAAAGTAATTTTTATGAATCATGTCAACCTTCCCAAGTTATTTCCTTCTCAAGGGAAATTTCGTTTCATTTAGAAGAAATGTTACCATTTGATTTGAAAGCAGCACAGATAGTTTTCTGATGTGTCAGAGTTTTTTTTGGAACACAAAACTGTCCTGATGTTACCAAGCAGAAACTCTTACTGATATGATCCAAAAAGCTACAGCTATGAAAGGCTATGAAAGAAGTGAAAAGTTCTCACCACTCTAAATGACCTTCAGACTGTAATTATTTACATGTTTTATTTATATGTTTTAATCTCTTTTTGAAGGGTCTGGAAACACCAATGTTATCCATACCCATCTGTGAAATCCTACCACAAAGCCTCTCACTGTCAGCTCCCCAGCTTTTATCACTGCCCAGTTGTGCAAGTACATTGGAAATTTTGGGGGGTGGAGATCCTCACATAGAAATACAATCTGGAATTTGTAGATCAAAAAGCAATTTATTATTTTTTTTAATAAAGCTGGGTGTTGAAAGCAGAGAGCAAAGCTATAAATATAAGTATTTTAGGCAATGTCTCTGCTATGAAGTGATGCACAGCCCTAAGAAATTCCATAAGGACATTCAGTGCTTGGTAGACCACATAAGAAAAATGAGCTTGTAGCTGTTTTAATGAATTTGTTGGACAAAAAGCCACTGACACAGGAGACAGAACTCTGTTTTTGGAGAGCAAATAGTATGCTTCACCACCATCTGACATCTTTGTCGACTGCATGAAATTTATGGATTTTAATTCCTTCTCCATCTTTTGTTTCTCATTCAGGCACATCATAGGCAGGTTTCCTGACTATCCTACCAAAGAAGCAGGAGGTTCAGCAACTATTTTTTCTGAGAAAACCCCAGAGCAGGTACTGTCACTCCTCTAATGCAAAAGGCTAATGGGATAGGGGAAGGAACCTCCACAATACATGTCTGTTTATTTAGGTTGCAATTTTGCATGACCATGGCCTCTAGTTCTTCAGGTACCTTATGATTAAAGGGGTTTTTGCTGCTAGTGAAATTTTTTTTCTTCCAGGGTAAACCACAAAACTCAGGTACCAAAATTTGTCCCCTTTCAGGATATGTAACCACTTAGTCACAGTGGAAGGTGCTCAGCCATACAAATTACACAGCTAAATGTGTGAGAGCAATCGGCTCAGCTACAAAGAATTGCTCAAATGTTCAAAAATCCATGTAGTTTGACTGGTGCTAGACAATAGTGGAAACATATGTCAAAGTTTTACCTTTGGTAAAGGCATCCAAAGCTACCAAGTTCAGGAAAAAAAAAATCTGAGATTGGTTCCAGTGTATCTACATTCAGTACCAGCACAGCAACTTTAGTTTGAGCAGGGAACAGTTTCTTGGCAGTAAATCAAGGCCTAGGCCTGCCTGCGTAAGGAGAGTTTGAACAAGGGGCACATTCAAGTGAAGGAATCATCTTGGCTTATTTTATGTATTCTGGTAACGATCTCAATTGTTTTCCTGAGAAAAAACAGTCTTCTGGCTTCTCTGACTAATGGAAGTAGCTGATAATCTCTTCCTCTGATCATTTGGGTGTCACACAGAGAAGGCGATTAAGATCAGTCAAAGAAGTGAAGGCAATAGTTGGCACTTGGAGCCTTTTCCCGCCTCCACAGTGATCTTAACAGGATGATGAGGTTGTTGAGGGAGTTTACAAACAGGAAACCCTGCACAGAGGGCTAGGATTGGGCCCCTGAGTAAACCAGGCATGATGGTTACTAGTGGGCTAGGAAAACTAAACCACGAAAGACAGACCTTTGTGGTCCTTAAAATAATGTTCCTCTGTTGGAAGACTGTTTTATTCATTAGTTGCTTGCAACTGATGATCTCACACAACTATGGCAAAACAATATTTTGGATTCAGTCCTTCTTGGAATCACAGAGAGAAGTCTAGGGCATGCTAGCAGCATCTGTGTGGTTTGGGGAAATATAAATACGGACCAGAGCAGCATAAAGCACTGTGCTCTAACTGTTAGTTACTTTGCTTACAGAAACACACAAGAAAACTGCGACAAACAGCCGTGTGCCTCACTAAAACTGAGCTCAGGGAATGCTCCTGCTTTCAGCCAAGTTCAGAGTGTGCTAAGGTCAACCCTGCCAGCCTCTGTATCTAAGTCACTCTGTTGTTCAGTCCCAGACAGAGTGAAGGAGACCAGTCCATTAAGTTTTCAGCTTCTAAAGTAGAAACACATGCCAGTGTCAAGAAGGCTTTGTTGGCTGCTCTAAGCAGCAGGGAAGCCACCCAGCACGCGTGGGCTTGTTGCTGGAGGAGGCTTCAGGGGTCACAATGCTAATTAGACGTGCTATCAACAAGGATAAATACAATTCAGAAAGAAAATAAAAATTACAAGAAATTGTACTGAGCAAAACTAGGTATGTTAGTAAATACTAGAGAAATGTTTTCCCTGTCTTACTTCTAGCTTTGAATTTCCACCTTCAGCTATTTTGCTGTGGCTCCTGGGTATTTGCTTTCTCTTTGCATAAAATAAAGGAATCTAAGAACCTGGAGAGATCATTTTACTGCCTGGTTTCCCTGCATAAAGGAAAATACCTGCAAGGAAAAAAAAAAAAGAAAAAGCATGCATTTTCCCAGCAAATTTTCACCAGCAGTTATCTGATTTCGAAGAGATCCCTGGAGCCATTTTTTCCTCCCTTTCTAGCCAGCACAACGGAGAGCAGAACGTATTTCACATACCCTTAACAGGCATCCAGAAGGTAGTTGGCAAAAGAAAGTTCAGTTTGTTCATGCTTCCACCTGAATGTCAGAAAAGTAAAATATTTTTTGATCTTCTGAGTCAGCCTGCATTTAAAAAATCCCAAAGGCAACTGGTTTTGTTTCACTCTGGTCTACTGGGCAACATAATAAATGAAATCCTGGCCCTATTGAAGTTAATGGGAGCTTTGCCCTTGAATTCAGGGGAGACAAAAGATTTCACCTCTTGTATATATTACCTTCTGTGAATGGGTTGGTTACTCTCAAGTTAAACTCCATGAAAAATCAGGACAGAACTGCATTTAAAAAGTGAGCATTTTATAAGACTTAGGTAAAGACACTTTGGGGAAAATAAAATACAAATTAATCACTTCACGAACCATTGCTGCATTATTATACATTCTATATTTCTTTATCTTTTGACAACTCTGACCTTACTTGACTTTGTAATGTAGCTAGCCTTCTGCACAAACTGCTTTCATGACATTTTCAAGATATTTTACAAATATCTTTCAAAAAGGTAAGCCCAAGACATCCAGATGCGACGGGCTTGGCAATTTAGTCAGAAAAATATGTACTGTCTCAACCGAACAGAAGCATTTCTCTATTACTTGATGCACTTTTCAGGAGAAATTTAAGATTCTGAGACTCAGTGTAATCTTCCTGCATCTGTTCCAGATGTCTATCCCTAATGGTTTTTCGTGTTTTGCTCCAGAGATAATCATCAGATATGACAATTTTTGGCTTTGCCCTTATACTGCTGCCAACAAAATTATGATCTCTTCCTGTAGTTCATTAAGTCTCATCACCATGAAAGTAAGCCAAGAGAGTTGTCACTTAGCAGTCACATTCCCCCTCTCCCAACTCCCTCTCACTTCCACTATTAAGCACCTTATAATAAAATAGACTGAGATTCTGGTTACACATTCAGTTGCTGTTTGGAGCACAGTCATTTCCACATTAACATAATCCTGGCATTTGATCCAGAAGCACAGAAGAAGGGCAAGAAAGAGTATGCATTAACTGCTGTTACAGATACAAGCTCCTAATCCTCATTTGGCACTCTGTGCAACACTACACCACTGATTAGCATTCATTATTACCAGCAGCTAAAAGTTCTCATGAATCCCAGTAATCAGTTTGATTGTGAATGTCAGTGCAAGGGATCCCAGTAGTTAATAATTAATAAACCTGTCTATTTCCCAGGTCAAGACAGTAAAGTGATATTATGCAATCAAGTACCACCACGTTCACACACACACATCTAAATGCATCATCTTCTTCCAAATGAGTATATCAAACAGCCTTAGAGTGCCAGAGGTGGCTCCAAGAGGCTCTGTGGAGCTGTATGTTGTAGTATCCAGCCCTCTGCAAATACACTTATCTTGACAGCAAATACACCAACTGTGAGTTTTTCAGCAGTTGCAACAGATGCCTACAATTACACTTACCATTTTCTCCCTTGTTCCACACTATTTTGGCCAGTCCTTTCAGAAATTATCAGTCTGGATTTTCACAAGCGCTAAACAGTGCCATCAGATGAACCTGGGCACCTCCGAGTCTCATATCATCATTATTAAGGTTAACCACGCAGAAAGGAGAAAAAGGTACTTAGGCTCTGTTAGGCTACACAACAGGCAGATGTATTCACCTCCAGACATTGATGCACTACAACAAAGCCACCGGGCAGGTTGGCTCCTGGTTCAGCAGCTCTCCGCTGCCCCCTGAGCATGATCATTTCTCTGTTGGCTGAAGTCAGCAGGCTAGATCGTGTGCCTAAATGCCAGGCATTATCAACAACCCCTTTTTTCATCTCTACCACCCACCTTCCCTGAAAAAAGAGAAAAAATATACCAAGCAACACTAATAGATTTTTCATAAACACACTCAATGGAGACTAACATTTTGAAGTGTTTGCCAGAAAATGATCAAAAGAGCAAGCAAGTTTTTAACTGGTGAGCCAAGCTACATTTGGGCAACATCTGCCAGTTGCAAAGAGATGAGAGCACGTGTCAATCCTGGACTGAAATGCAAGACTGTCTATTAAATCCAACTGTAGGGTTTTGCAAGATCCCATATAACTATAAAATCTTCCCTATCATTTTTAATTCATTCCTGCAAGACAGACATCACTGGGATATATATTTTTTTTTAAGCTTGATCTTCACTTGCAGGTGCACACCCAAAGTTAAAAATACCACCTTATAGAAATAATCAGCTTGTAGAAGTTTTAATTAAGTGCCCTGAAGCTGGAGGGAAAGTGGCAGGTAGAGAACATTTACAGTATACTGTATGTTATGCACAAGTCATGTAGATGTCTGATGTTTGGTATACTACTCTGGGACAGGGGGATGGCATTTCTTCCCATCTCAGTCCTGTTTCCTTGGAGAAGAAACATTTTTGCCTCAGACATCAGAATAGCTTCTTCCTGAAGAGCTAATTCTCAAAGACAGCAAATTCTCTCCAGAGACAGTAGGCTCTGAACACATTGTTTCTGTTCAAAATAGTTTCAGGGCCAGAATTACAAGGCTCTGAGGCTGTCTCACCCACCGCAGCTGGCAATCTAAAATTCCCAAACTCACTCTATCACTGCTTTTTTCTTTTATGCCCACAACACTATTAAAAGCAAAAGGTTCAAACGAGGTCTTCCTTCAAGGAATGAGGGAAGGGGTTATTCTTGAGGAGGAACATTTACTTCAAGTGTCTGCTTGCCTGAGCCAACACCAAGCTTTCTGTGACTGAGGAACACAGAACATAAGTGAGCCCTACTGGCAGCCAGTGGTTTTCGGATACTTGGCTCATACATTGACATCAGGCATTTCCATTCATTGGCTGCCCTCAGTTTCATCGCCCCCGTCTTTCCCAAAAAAGGGGATTTGCACTGAAAAAGTTTGGAAACACTTAAACTGATGTATAAAAAGGAAAGTCAATTTGGCTTTTGTGGAAGATCAGTTTAGAGGAAAATGTCTTTTCAGCCTTGAAATAAGAAGTTACTGGATAAAAGTCATCACTAGGTCTATAGGGCTCCTACAGCAAGACTAGGAAAAATTGAGACTAAAATTCATCCACTCTCACCGATGTGCATTCCCTTCCCCAACATTAAGGGTTTTCAAAGTGCTTTCAGCATCATTTCAAAAAGAGACAACCTCGCAAAGAAAAGGGCAGGCTGAAATAATTTAGGAAGGCATCTGCTTTTATTTCCACTATGAAGTTTTCTTCAGGGGAAAAAATGTATTATAATGCAGGTGAATTGCTTAGTTTCTCAAACTAACCTTTGCTTGTCCTTTCCTTTCTTTCCCGTTCTTTTGTCAGATTCCTCAGGCATCTTCTTGTAGCTGGAGGGGAAATTGTTCCGTATAGAAGAATACAAGCCATGTAAGGTTAGGTACACAGCCAGCTTTCACCCCACCTCCCAGTCCTCTGCAATTACGAAGCTGCTTAGAGCACAAGTGCAAGCAGAGCTGGAGAAGCTGTACCGAAAGAACATAGGGGAGAAGATGTATCTGATGCAGAAAAGGAAAAATCCTATTTGCTCTGTCATTCTCTTTTGGGAAGCAGAGACACGCTTCAGAAAAGTCAGGCTTTACATGCTGACCACACCACCACCTAGGACAGAGGCCCTACATGTACGCAACCTCTGCCTTCAGTCACTGGGCATGGTTCTGGACTTGACTTCTTGTGTTCCCATATGTTGCACCCAGCACTGACTGCAGGCACCATTTGCTGTTACTTACTAACTGCATAGGTAGGAGGCTTCACACCACTGCTCATACCCCACACAAGCAGTTCTGAAAATGGTAAACACGAGCTTTGTTTTTCCACCCTACAAAGCTGATGAAGGCAAGACAGAAGGATAAGGGCAGTTCAACAATTCCATCCCATTATGTTTTGTTCCCAAGAACAGAAACTAACCCCTTTCCGCATCTTTTTATTCATCTGCATAAAAACATGAAAAAGAAATCGTTCCAATCAAAGTCTGCATATACTTAAAACATTGCCAGTAGAACTTGGAAGCACTGCCTAAAATTAAAACCTTTTGTTAATCACATGCGTGCTTACAGGACTCCTGCTGGATAAACCCACCCCTCGGATGCTGGAAATGGTTACAGCTACCCATTAGCAGGCAGGCAGAGCAGAGGTTGGAGGTGGAGGTGACGAGGTTGGATATCTGGCCGGGTATTAATGCTACAGTAAAGGATACAGTCTGAGTAGCTCTGTTGGTTTTGGATACAAGAGGCCTGCTGGGACACTAAAAACCTATTTTGAACTCTAGTCAATCTATTAATCTATCCAAGAGAATGAAATGCTTCACTGCTTATCACCGCAAGATATGACTGAACGGTGCTTGGGGTTTAAATTACCATATTTAATTAAATGTAAGGTACTGAAATGCTTGGGGAAATTCAGTAATGAAATTTCACTGACTGCAAAATATAGCCCTTGTCGCCCCTCGCTTCCACTGTCCAATCTTTAATCCATTAAAAGGCATTTTTTAGAAAACAAGTATTTTTACTGTTACAGGAAACACTTGTCTTAAACTTGGAAATCTGTTTTCTACACTTTCACAGTACTGCCAGTATTAATGGTGCATTAATAAGCTGCAGTGTCCACAGATTGTTTTACACTCACCAGTGGATGATCTTACAGTTCATCTCTAGGACGAGAGAACACAATGAAAGGTGTCTGGGAACAAGAAAGTGATAGAAAAAGCAAATCTCCCTGTCTGCCTTTTCAGATAGTAACATATAAATGGACAGGAACTAAGCTGAAGTAGCTCTATCCAGTTATCAGCTACTGCTACCTTGCAGGGATAAAGATGCTGGGTTATCAGTGTACATCTGTCAGGGATCGTCACAATATCTCTATCCAGTCTCTCATCCACTGCAGCAATTTCAGTCTTTAGCCAAATATTGAAATTGGACATGCCTCAAGGCAGTCTCTCAGAATCCATCTGTATAATATCAATCTGCCTTAAAAATGCTAAGACACATTCATAATCCAAATGCAAGTCCAGAGGGAGCTCAAGGTTGTATATCATTAGGATATTGTGCTTCTGGGTGGTTTCAGGAATTGGTCTTACTCGATAAAAGCCCTAGTGGTTTGGGACATGGAAATCACTTCCTCAAATACATGCTAGGAGTCTGTATCACCTGCATCAACATTTGCAGGTAGGAGTGCTCTCAACATAAGTGAAAGGGGTTGCTCTGTCATGGATTAGCTGCTCTGAAGTTCTCTCCACACCATGCCAAACATCTTCTGAAATCTAGATTTGTAGAATCATGTGTTTGAGAGCTTTTTTTTTTTCTCCACTCCCTTCTCACCTCTAAAATGGTTGCAGATGCTGCAGTGACATGTAAGTTCTGTTCCTGCACCCACCACGATGCAGGGTGAGTATTTGGAGTTGCCCATCACCATCTGAATGACAAGTGGAAAGGTCTAGTCAGAACTTAGCCATAGAAGACTATACCAAGTAACATATTGGATATTGGATTCCTCTACTGGGGAAGTAGAGGAAAGCTGAAACCAAGGCAGAAGAAATGCATACTAGTCCCTAACTCTTGCAGGACATGCCTTACACCTTACCTTGCACATGCAAATTTTGTCCAGCTATTCATGTTTCTTTTATCTCTTTCAGGTTGCTGAAGAACTGGCTGCCAAAAAGGAGATGGCTCTGCAGAAAAAATCCCAAAAGGAAGGAAAAGAAAAAGAGAAAGGAAAGGAAAAGACAAAAGGAAAAACACAGAAAACTGGAAAAAAGGTAAGGCTTCCTGCAGTAAAGTCAGTTAGCAGTTTGTGAAAACAGAGCTGAAGTCATGGCCTTCTCAACTACGTGTGGGCAGAGAATATTAATTCGTATTGCCACCAAGGCCTAGGCTCAGAAGATATAGGGACTGGTTAAGGCCAGTCCCTCTGAGACTTTCAGTCAGCTTGATGCTCCGAGGGAACTGAATTTCACCTCTCATTTTTTAGGAAAGGAGTTTGCATGGCCATGACTCAGCTAAGTGGAAAGAACTGATGTAGGTGGACAGAATGCCAGAAAGAGATGAGGGGAAAAAAAATACACTTTGTGGCATTGACCTTGTTACCAAGACACTTTTCAAAGCACTGCTGCCTTTTGTACAGATGGAAAACTGGCCACAAGTTTGCTCACCAGGCATTTACACTCTTAATGTGGAGTAGGGAAAAGTTAGTAACTTCACACAAGAACCTCAGTTTCCATCAGATACCCACTTCTGATCTTGCTTGGATTTCAAAACTTATTTTACGTACTGTTCACTAATGGCTGGCTGTGTTTTGTAGTGCAAGCCAATATTTTGTAAGCCCGTAAATAGCAATCATGCATTTTCAGTTCGCATTCTTAGGATATGAACTCTTTTCTGCCTCATGTAACAGCAGACACCGCTTTATGTGTGATATATTCCCTGAAATCTTTGTTACACTAAGGTTCTGGTTTCCCTAAAGGTGTGCTCCCAAATTATTTCAGGAGCAGCTTTACAGAGAAAAGCATCCCTGCAACAGCAGTGACCTGAGGGCATATTCAAAACCAAGCTTTGCAACAAAATCGTATAGTTTTGCTGAAGCAGCAACTTTTAGTTATCATTTACTTTATACTATAAAGAAGCGCAAAATAATGTTTTTGTTTTTTAATAAGGGTCATTAATCTGAGTATGTGGAGGAAAAGAGGTCAATGCTCTGGCACAAAGCTTACTCTTCTCTGCAAATTTTACACAATTTCTGATTTTAAGTGTTAACCCTGGAACAATCCAAAAACATGCTTTTCTCAGGCAACAATCATCACTTTGGCCAAAGCTCTTGTAACAGCTAGCCAGGAAACTAAGTTACATGAATTTAGGAAACATCAATCTGTCTAATTTGGATGAAGATAAAGTGTTAACCCACAGCTGAGACAGTGTTTTCAGCTTGGAAAGACTCTGTTTGGATCATACAAGACCCAAGAATTTGGGTTATGGGGTTTCAGGGATTTTTTCTTTATAAATGAATATGTATAGAAGGCTGAAGGAAAAGCATGTATAGAAGTTTTCCAAGCTCTGAGCCTGAGGCCCATCTTCTGCAGTGTGTGTGGATAACTTGAAACTCCAGATCTTAGTCACACACATCTTCAGACATCTGTTATTTGTCAGGGTGCTGCTAGATCACAGGGTGACAGCATTAGTGAGGGCACCAGGCTCCAAGGAGCAGGAAGTGGACTGCTGGCACCACCTCGTTGTACCTTAGCTGGCAGAGCTGAGTCCAGAAGAGCAGGAGGACAGAAAGAGGAGCATAATCCCTGCAGACCTAAGCCTAATACTGATACCAAGTTGTCCATAGATTTCTAGGGAGTTATACAAGTGCCAAGTTCAGCTCTGCAGGACCACTTCCTCCTGTGACCCCTTTAATCAGTATGGCTATTGCAGAGCTCTGGAGGAAAGATCAGATAAAAGTACACATAATGAAAGCCGTTGCTTAGAAAAGCTTTTGCCATTACAGACATAGAAGAGCATTATTCTCAGCTACAGGAACTTGTAGCATCTCAAACTGTCCAGCTCTGCTTGGAAGCATTCACAAGGGTGTCCTCTAGCATCTTTCTATATGGCTTTGTCCTTGTCCTCTGTCCTTTCCAACTCAGCCAGCCCAGAACGAAGCTGTGATGCACCTAGTCATGCAGAGGCAGCAGAGAAGGCTGTTCCAGACCTTTCAGTCCAAGTTAAAGTGAGGCATTAATGCTTAGACATGCTAAAAACGCCAAACCTAATCTCCAATCTGAGCTTCTGAAACTGAATGTCAACTAACCCACCTGCTTAAAAACATGACTTTCACAGAATAAATTTGATTCCTTGTGTTTTTCATCTTCCATAAGATGGTAAGATAAGAACCAAGACTACACCAGAAATGAATCCTTATCCTCTCACAACCTCTGCAAGGTTCTTTTGAAACAGGGTGAAATAACAATATAGAGCTCTGGGGCTTTATAACCTGAAGTCATTCTCATCTCTTCAGCCATCACAAGTCCTGTCAAGTAAAATTCTGAGCCATTATATCAGGTTCTCTATGGTTCATTGAGAAAGAACAAAGGGAACATTCTCTCCAAGGTTATAATACTGACAGGGAAAATAGCATCTAAGACCAGTTGAGAAGTGTATGGAAAAGTTCTAACAGCAGGACTCTTATTAAAATAAGTATAGGCGATAAGTCATAGCAGTGCAGTCAAAGAAAACCCTTGCTCATAACTTCACTTCTTTAAGAAAACAAAAGTTTGATCCCAGAAGGAAATTTAAATATTTCTGAAGCCTGATAGCAATCTTTAAAAAGACGTATTTCATATCAAAGTAACTTCATTTTTTTTTCTCTGTAAGGTGTTGATCTGATTTCCCATTGGACACCCAAGGAAAAAAAACACCAGCACCATCTGATTCCTCTTTCCAAGAGCAGAGCACATTAGACCAGTTTGGGCTGCTTCACCCAGTAACATTCCACAACTGGTCTCACTACAGAACATGAGCAAGGCTGCACAATTCACAGATTTCATCCAGAAATACTAAACAGTGAGGTGTATTTTATCCTCATTGAAATCCATTAATAAAATCTCCAGAACAGAAGCGCAGAACAGTCAGTTCACAATGTTCCTTGCTGTTGAATGAGAATATAAAGCCATAAAGCCATCTAGCATGGGCTGGAATTCAGAAAGCTTCAAAAACATTAAAACTATTATTTCCATATTTGTGCCTAAATTGAAGTGTATATTGTTGGTTCAAGGTACTTTAGTACACAGCACAGAATAAGCATGGAATCAATCCATTGAACACAGAAAAATACATCAACTGACTTCACAGGAAAAGAAGTTTTATACATTACATTGACCCTTGTTCTGTTAATACATGCAAGAGGGAATACAGAACAGCACTCTGCAACTGTCCTTTGGACACACAATGGTTTTGATTAAAGTCAATGACATTGATGTAAATATTGCTATGTCAGTTTACAGGAATCATTGAAGCTAGTAATTAAAATGATCTATTGGTTTATTTTTAACAATAAAAGAAATGTTAACCCGCATCCTATGCTATTGAGTGGCTAAAAATGAATAACAATCCCATTTTTAGGCTTTTAATAGTTAGCAATTACAAGTATGCTCTTAGAAGAGCATCTTTTAATCATTTTCTAAAAATGTCAAAGTGCCAAGGATGAATCTCAAAGTGCCACACCCTGCCAAAACTGAATACTCGCACAAGCAAGAATTTAGATTCCAAGAGTCAAATCCTCAAGCACTTGGCTATAGTTAACCCAAATGATTCTTGATGTTTAATTTAGAAACTCACAAATCTTTTTCAAGTATAGCTATAGACCATGGCATAGAAGTGGTAAATGTATTTAGGTTCTGCATGTCCTCCTGGGCCTAAACTTTAATTGCTATAGTAACTTAATTAAAAACATTTAATAATTCATGTGACCTGTCTGCAGATGTATCTGATAAGCAAGTAATGGCATCTAATTAAGGAGGTACTTGTAGGGTTTTTGTTTTGGTTCTAGGTATTTCAGGAACTGTATCCTATAACTTTCTGATAACTAGCACCTTACAGACTAGCCTTGGATTAGCAAAGCCAGATACAACTTGTGTTGTCTTTGGTAAATCCACACCAGCTCCTCCTCAGATTGATAACTTCACACAACTGTTACCTTACTAGCATTTTGAAGACTTATGACTGACACAATGTGAAGAATCTTTTATAGCTTTCTGACAAGATTTTCCATAGAAATGCTGGTTCAAAGAAATTAAACTATTTTAGGAACTTGTCAATGTCATTTAGTTCAGATAGGAAAACATCAATATGTTTTGATTAAGTGGAAACCAAATATTTTGTTTTGCAAAATACACCAAGTTCATTATTTTTCTAATAACAAATTAAAATGAGGTTTCAACAGCTTGGAATTACCCACAGGTTGGGAATTCCTTTGGTGCATGGAGGGTGCAACCCAAGAAAAACTGAAAAAATAGCAAGGTAATTTAATTTACATGTTTTGCAAGTATGCTACCTATATTACAGATTCCAACCAGCCTAAATATAAGTCCTGTGACCTCAATAGGCCAATTGATGAACTGACACTCTACCTTCCTTTTTTTTTTTTTTTTTTTTAAGAGGATAAACTTTCTTTATACCCTGCTAGGAAAACCATAGTTGATGAAAAATTTCATAACAGCATGACGAAATGGTGCCTTATTCCTCACATTACAAAAATTAAAAATGAAAATTACGACTTTTTCACACTAAGTTACTACATACATGTATTAATATTCTGATTTTTCTTTTTACCCCCCTCGAGTCTAGGAAGAGGATGAGGGCTGGAAAATGGCTCCCAGTAATTTCCTTTCAATAATGGAGGAAGGAAGCAGTCAATACAAAGGTCAGTAGAAAAAGATAACAATTACAGCTGGAATGTTCTTCTAATTCAGTTTAATCTGAATGTCATTCCTGTAAGGTCAAACTGCACAGCTGCCCAAACTGTGTAACTTTATAGAAATGAGAACATTAGATAAATGGTATTTAGGAAGTCTCAGTACCTCAAGTACCCAGGAGTCTCAAAATCATTGTGCTAATCATAAAGGATGGTACATTCCTGTCTGAGTGACAGTGGCCAAACTAGAACCAGAAGTACATACAGATTTTCTAAGAGTGGTAAAAATTGCATCTGAACAGCAAATGATTTAATAGCACCATACTATAGATGAGGCTTCAGCATCAGTGTTTTCATGCTCTTGTAACTCCTGTCTGCCTCTCATTCATGGAAGGTGTCTATAGATACTATTTACACAGTTCACAGCTAGTCAAATTATCTTTGATGTTTTAATCTTTTTAAGCAGAGGCATGAGAAATGCTGCTAAAGTATGAATATACCTCAAAGTGTTTGCAACTTCCCAAATATGATTGAATATATAACATAGCTTGGAGTTGTATAATCGAAGCCCTGTCACAATTAAAAATATTCTCTTCTCCTCACTCTGCAGTGTTTATGGCTTGCTAAGAGTTCTTTATATGAAAAAATACTCATTTCCCTCCCTCTGACAAATCACTAAGCAGAGTGTTCTGCCTGATTTGAGTTGGCTGGAGAGAAAGCAAGCAGCTTTAAATATGCACCAGCACAATTTTGCCAGACTCCTGGCTTCTAACAATTCAGATTCTGTCTACATTGTAAATCAAAGGAGCATTATGCTTGAAGAAAGTTCTTAGTGCCAAACTTTACTCTTGATTGCTACATCAGAACCCCACTGAAGTCAGCAGGAATTTTAGATAAGGATCAATTTCATCTATACTATTTTCCTTAACTAGCCCAGAATATTACTTGTGCTTTTTTATACACCCAGGACCAGATGTCACCTTGCAACCCAAAACCAGCAATAGCAAGACCCGTGTTTCCCATCCAGCTAGTCCCAAGATCTACAAGAGGCAGGGTAGAGTCCCTACCGTTTGCAAAGTAGCAACAAGAGGGCAGGAGGGTTTTACATTGTCAAGTAGATTTGGCAAATACACTTATCCAGCATCCTGCTGAGTATGCAATAGGGCAGCTATGCTTTCCAGTGCTTCTTGGACCCCCTGCTGAGGCTTCGCAGCATCTAGCACTATTTAGTACAATGCTGAACTGTGAATTCACCAACTCCTTGTATTTGCGCCTATTAATAACTCTCCTCCAGGTTGTGGAAGACCTCACACTCAGGCTTTAAATAGTGCTTCCAGCACAGTGGACGTGAGTGTTGGGGATAAAAACACCAGGGGGTTGATAATTTAGTTTGATAGGAAGGGATACTCCCAAATTTCACCACGATCTCAAGTAACAAGTCAGGGGGCTTATGAGAAGACAGAGACATGTTTGTCACCCAGACTGTAATGGAATACCACTTCATATACTGTCACCCCTATCAAGATATATCCTTGCAGAACTCAAAGCATGTAACACATTTTGGGGTTACTCATGCTGGCCAACTTTTTGCACGAAGAGGGGTGCTGAACTGGGAGGTGTTTTCCTATACATTTCACAAAGCCTCCCAAGGACAACTCAACAGCTCGTTATCTGTCTATAGAATCTCCATTCCCACTCAGGCACCTAAATTGGATACCTAAAGCCAGTTGGTGTGAATACCTCCATCATCCCATGACATACTGACAGCACTTGCTAATACAATGTAATAATGCACTCAGGTAGGTCAGCCACAGGCCTACCTTTTGTGTTAGGACACCAGTGCTCGTCTCCAGCCCATCCCACCAGAGCTGACACCTGTACCTCTAACAGCATACAAGGAACCATTTTCTGCAGAGCACAACCAGAACTCCTCAGAGTGGAAAGAGCTCCTCATGCAAGCTTCAAAGAATAGCTTCAGGTGTCTTACATACAGTAAGAATCTGTAGCTGTCCAGTTAAACCCCAGCCATTTTTTTTTTTCCTTCTAATGATTCAAGTCTATCCAACACCATAGTGTTTTGTGTTTGTTTTGGTTTTTTGGTTTTTTTTTTTTTTTTTTAGTAAAGAGCTGTTAATTCCTCCATGCAGCAGTATCCTTCCTCATTCAGCAGCACTTCATGCTTTTATTGTGCCTAACCACACAGTTATCACCACTTTATTACAATATTACCCGGTGGTTGTTCAAAAAATTGAATTAAGTCATGGATGAGGTTCAGTTTTTCAAGGCACCCAGAAGCCTAGAACATCTGATAGGAACAGCGTAAGCAATTTCTTACTTTTTAATTTTAGTCTGCTTTCATTTCAGTAGCAAAGTTGTTTAGAAAAAGGTTTGGGTTTGATCTTTCTACATTGGGAACATTTTTCTATTCTTATGTGATAGTAATTGAGCTATTCTTACAATTTGCATAGAAGTTCAAACTTATTACTGCGTAAATCTTGAAAGCATCACTGAAGTAAGGGAGCTTGATTAAGATTTATATCAGGTGCCTACAATGGAATTAAAGGCCTTTATGAATGCGGCTGCAGTCTACTAAGTGAGAGCTGTCCAAACAGTGAACGTTTTCATTTTGTCACCTCTCCCCCAACTCTTACAATTAAAGAGTATTTCCATCCCCTGAAACTGGTTGATTTGTTCTTGGGTTAAATGTTGTAAAAGACGTAGATCAGTTTTCACAAAGATCTAAGTATTTCACTTACAGACTTTTCCATACCGATCCCACCCCCACCCCATGTTAGAACTACTTAAATAAACCTCACTGGAATTCACAAACACTTTTGCTCTCCCAAAACTGTATTTGGCAGTTTTACTAGTTGCTAAACTACATTTGCCAAGCCCTATCTAAAACACTTATTTTATATACTTTTGTTGGAAACAGCCAGTTTCTCTGCAGGCTTACTTATACACTACTTATACATGTACACTGGAATAACAGGAGTATGTGGAATAAATGTAAGTAGCCTGAATCACTACCTCAGTCTCCCTGGGTTTTATTTTTGCGGTATACCATGCTGTAAGGCAACAAAGTGCTATTTCCCCCATTTTACAGGTAGCCAGTTGATATTTGACTTAGTGTTGCAGGGGATATTTCAGTTGGAACTAGAGTTCAACTTCAATACTGCATGACCCAAATTTTAAGGTGGGATGATATTGTGTATTTTGCCTTGTATCAAAAGATTCAAACCCTTTTGTCAGGAGGTTGAAAGTAGTCATGTTAAGAAGAAAAGCTTCGTACTTCAGATAAAAAGTACTTCAATTATCAGTGACAAGCTGCTTTGAAATTCAGAGATATTGGAATTACCTGCTAGTCTGCAGAGGAAAGCTAATGCTGCTGAAGCGATGTTAGCAATCACATTAGTGCACTGGCTGCCTTTTGAGTCCTGAGCTCCGGAGTTATGCATATAAAATAATCCAAAGATAAGCATGCTTTATTTTAGAAGAGGCAATATAAATCGCAGTGCACACACAGAAATAGTTCCCATAGCTGCACGACCCATCTGTAACAAAATACCAGCCTCTTTTGACTGGCCAGTGAAAACAACATCCTTAGCCTTCTGACCTGACTTTAAAAATAACTTTGAAATGTTTTGTTGATCTATGAAAGAACAACATAGCACCTAACACCTATGAGTTATTTATCTCTTTTCTAAAATTGGAGACCTCTAACCCAGTGTCTAATATAGCACTCAGAACTCAGTGCCAGGTAATATCAAAGGCAACTGCCTAAGCTGTGTGAGGACTGTTGCTGCTTTGCCTGCAGTGGATATTAACTGCTAATCGATTTACAGAATGACAATAAACAATTATGAAAAAACAATAAAAATCTATGATCCCTCTATGAAAGATAAATACCTAAGACCTAGTACTCCTCTATGAAAACATAGCACTTGCAACCTGTTGACCCAGTCAAGAAAGTGTTTAAAAATTCACATTACAGAGGAGTTATACACCCTTTCCCCAAGGCTGAAATTCCAAACTGATAACCCTGGAGGAGGTACTGTGCAACTAGGGCAAATCAGCTTTCTTTCTTGAAATATTATGTGACATCTGTCACGCCATTTGATGACCCATGAGTAATTGAAAGAAATTAATGTCTGTACCTTGGAGTTTTTCTTCATTCCCCCAAATCCACTGTCCTTCTCCATCTCTACCATTTTTTGTTATGAAATTAAGACTACTCACCTGCAAAAACTATTCCCCTTGTGTAAAGTCACAAATACTCTGCACATAATTGGACTCTGAAAATTCGTAGAGGATGGAAATAGCAGACAGTATTATATTAACTGAACTAAAACCTGAATGATCTCCTATGGGTACTGTGAAAACATTTCTGAATTTATAGTGCCTTAGAAATGGCAGTAGGTACAGGAAAGAGTTCCCTGTGCAAAACAGATTCATAAAGGAGCCTAAGTCTTAAAGTAGAGAGTTGTCATTTTAAATCATCTGGAAATTGAATTAGCACATACTGCTGGAGATTAGCTGTCATTTATAGAGATATTGTCATAGCTTGAAATGCAAGGAAATTAAAGATATGAATTGGCCTCCTTTAAATTAGCTCAAAAAAAATGTAGAAAAGGTGGAGGCGTTTCCATTAAAAAGGTACCTTCTGCTAATAGCATAGGATTCAGATATGCACAGAGCTTGCCAGACATCATTTAGTTCTTTAGAAAGGGCAAATAACAGTTGCATCAACAAAAATAACTGCACTTCAGCATCATTAGCTACTTTATTGTAAATAGGATTTTTTTGATCAGTTCGCACAAGTTTGCTTGGTTCCTTGAGTGTGGTCTCTGTAATACATATGGCTTGCACATCACTAAGAAACAAAGGTGCATCAGTTGAGTCTCAACTCTTCCACAGAAGGACTTCAGATGCCCTTTAATTAGGGCATCAAGCTTAAAACTCACTAGAGCTGTGGCTTTATGCCACTCGGGGGTTGGATGCAGTTTATTGCTGTCAGACTTGCTGTCCCCTCTCACTCCCCTTTCTGTTGTTCTGAGGGCAGGCGTTTCTACCTATATTCCAGTGCTCCTGACCCAAATTTCAGCTTCATGGGAATTACTGCAGCTGAAAGTCCTCTTTCACTGAGCACTAGATAACAGACGAGGAGAGAACAGGGAAAACTTCCTGCTTTAGATTACACCTCACTTTAGTCCCCAAGCCTGCATTCTGCCAGCCAAGAGATACATGTATGTAGAAAGCACACTCCTCAGGACAGGAGCTGTCTTTGCAACTCTTTCATGGTAAAGATTTAAACATGATGCTGGTAAGCAGAGACAAGAGACACCAAGATCAGACATGATATGGTTAAGCTGCTACTGTACTACCTGCTCTTGAAGGTGAGCAACACTCCAGGCATTCAGCTTTACAACCAGAAAACGACAACTTCAATATCCCATTATTATCCTCCTGAAATCCAATACCAATTTACAGCCCAAGGCAAAAAGAAGTTAACCTCAAGATTTGCAGATCCTAGCACAACAGGGCTCTGAACTTGGTAAGGGTCCCTAGAGCTTGCTACTTTCATACAGCTAATAATTTAATAAAAGCTGCCTACGACTAGCTTTTTTTTTTTTGTGCCTCCAGAAGCAGTTGGAGAAATCGATGGCTTCTATAACTTTTTTCCCCTTTCTTCTTTCTTTTGGATAACAGCCGTTTGGCAGAACAGAGACGAGGGATGGGATCTCCTCCAGGATCATGACCTGGAGCTGATCAAAGAAGAGAAACGGGAAGAAGTGGAGGAAGAGATCAGAGTGCAGGTGAGCTTACAATAGTAAGAGGACACTAATAATGTGCATTGCCTGTGTATATTTCTCTGCAGCTGTAAGAACTGGCCCTGGCATAGACCTTACCTCCTTCCAGACTCCCTACTATCTGTTCTCTGCTTTAATGCTTGTTTGGCTGAACAAGCATTTGTCTGGTGTGGTGGCAAAAACAGAAGACTTAAAGATTCAACATTGTATGCCTGGACAGGTTGATGAATTGATGCAACAGAAACTAGAGAATCTCATACTGGCTGTGGATGGAGAGAAGAGCGGCAAGCAGAAAAAAGGAAGAAAAAGTGAAAAGGTAAGAGCAGCAAGTTGTGAAAATTCAGGGTAAATCTCAATTCTCTACACAGATACAGTGGTATTCAGTGCAAACCCCGGCTTCAGGGCCTTGTCTCTTAACTGTTATTGATTAACCTCTATAAATATTGCTTGGGACAAGTTGAACTATTCCAAAGATAAACCATTACAAGATAGATCAGACTTTCAAGAAGGACACACACCTTTTTGGAATCCTTTGGTCCAGAGAAACAACAGGACTGTTTCAGCAGTCCCTCTGTTTCTTAAGGTGACTGGCTCAGATTAATAGTCTTCCAATAGTCTGTCTGGACCTGGGTGCCAGTAAGCTCCCCAGCTGCTGTTTTCCTTTTAAGTGAGGACTTGATGATTTGTTTCAAAACTGTACATCAAAAAAATTAAGTGCCTTGGTAAAACCTTTCATTTATGTATAACATGTAGATGATATCCAGCCAGGTGTACCTTAATTATGTTACTACTTACTATTGAAGGGTTTGGGAATTTGTGATTAAGCCAAGTTTATTTAAGCATATCAAATAGGTTAAAGACATACATTATTTTAATGTGCTGCCCACATGTCACGTTCACATCTAGTTTCACAGCATTACCATATGCAAAATTCCACAGCCCACGGTTCCCTGAATTCCTCACCCAAGCATTTAAACTATAGATCATGTCAGTACAAAATAACTCAAAGCTTACAGACCCTACGGTTCAATCAGCAGTTCCACTTAAAAGGCTCAGGGCAAATAGCCAACCCTAATCTCGTGTTGTATTCTATTTCTATAATCCTTTTAGCGTGCAAATATTTGATTTTGCAGTACTTCTACTCAAATTATCTTTAAAAATGCTCTTTCACCTGACAAAGGCGTAAGGGCAATTTAATAATGAAAGACTGGAGCAACTCTGAAAAGTGATACTGATTGGATTTCTAAATCTGTTTCAAAAATAGTGAGGCTTAAGATATGCAGACAAACTATTGCAACAATCTTCTCTAAGTTGTTCTGCATAGACACGTTTGGCCACTTCAGATCAACTGGTTGAAATTCTGCTTCAAAACATCATATTGCAGTTTTAAAGCCTTACATCAGTTTTTCTTCAATACAGTGTTGGAATAGTTTTGGGTGGTGAGTTTATTTAACTGTTGTTTTCCCATGTTGTGCCAGTAGCCTGAGAGAATGAGGGAGCAGGAAAAGTAGTACTAATTAAATAATACAAGTTCCCAAAAGGTTTTCTCTGAAAAATAGCAGTTCTGTTTTAGGGGTGGGGAATGTATGGAGCTACCCAGTTCAAAACATCTTCCCTGTGCAAAACTATTTGAAAATTCCAGCCAGCCCTGGCAAAGGCTTTTTCTAATTAGTATTTACATAAATGTCTCAGACCATAAGCTAGCAGTGTGCACACAGACTTCAGATCTGCGTTATGAAAGTCTGGCCTATATAACAAGGATAATACAAACTGGAAAAAAAATGGAAACAGCTTATTAACTTGTTACTTAGCAAAAATCCTTTTTTCCAAGGCTTACATTAGCACATCCTGGGTCCCATACACCCTTCTTCTGAGTTACACAATGTGAAACAACAATGGTTTTGGATTCTCATCATATCCATGGACACGTCTGGAGTGAGATTTCTTCTACCCTTTGCAGGAAGACACCGCAGTAGAACTAGAGCTTTTTGTTGTCAGGGAACAGCCACTTCCCTGGAGCATATAGGGCAGATGTCATAGAATCATAGAATCATAGAATATCCGGAGTTGGAAGGGACCCTTAAGGATCATCAAGTCCAACTCTTGACACCGCACAGGTCTACCCAAAAGTTCAGACCATGTGACTAAGTGCACAGTCCAATCTCTTCTTAAATTCAGTCAGGCTCGGTGTCCTCTGCCTTTTCAAGAGCACCTTTGGATAAGTAGCTTACAACTTCAAAAAAAAAATCTGTCAAGTCCATATTAAAAAAGTCTGCCTGATCTACAGAAATTTGAGCTTCAGAACCTGTCTGGAAGTCCCTTTTTGGGGGAAATTCAACAACAGCATTTTGAAATTAGATTCCAAAGCGAAAGTATCAGGAAGATAATTGCACCCTCGCAGCCAGCATTTCAGATGGCTCAGCTCATAGCCAAAGTTTAACAGCTCTGGGCATACCTCTAGGCCACTCCTTATTTCTATGCACTGTACTTCCTAGGCTGAATTTTATCACTGACTCCCAAACCTTCAAATACCACTTAGAAGTGGACACTTAACCCTGTCAAGAGTTACTCTCGCTGCTCCTGAAGATAAAAAGCCCCGACCTCTGTGGAAGAATAAGCTTGGGTGGAAAGGCAAATTGCTCTGCTCATTATGAATGGGTCTCCAGACCATTAGGCTGATCTGGAAATATCTGAACTAATTAGATTGCACCTGATCTGCAACAAACCATACCACTATCATTTGAGGTAGAGACTCTACCCATGATGGAAGCACTTCACCCTGCCAACTATTAATTGTCATTATTATCCAGCATTGGTTGGGTAAGGAGCACAAGTGTCCTTCTCATTCATCCAGAGACACACTGTGCTGGGGGCTGAGTAGAAAGCTCTCCAGATGACTCCTGATCTGAAGACAATCAAAGGAGAGGGAATAAATACACAACAGAAACAAAGGAAAGTGGTTCATCTCAGCTGCCAGTTGCCTTTTTCTTCATGATACACAGTGCCAGCTTGCCTGCCCAACTGTGGATCAGCACCCGTGTAAAGGCAGGTTGAGGAAAAATTTGAAGGGAAATATGGCACTGATATCTAGGAAGGCTTAAGGTCCCAGCCAACCTAGAGGAGTGTTAGAAAGCACCATGACTAGTATTTTCAGAAGCAATGGAGTTTTGTAAGAAGTTGGTGGTGTTCTTGCACCAACATGAACTTTTGTAGTTGAAATATTATTCTTTGTGGTCCAACCCTTTCTGCTTACAGCCCAAGCTTCTGATTTGAGTGACTCAACACAACCCAGCAGCTCTACAAATGTTTATTCTATAGATGGATGTCATGTCATGTACCTAACCACAATACCCAGAAGGTTTAGCAGCTGAAAGCATTTCTCCTGATAACCTGTGGCCAAATATACCATTGCAGGCCTGGTGTCTTTACATTGGCTTTGCACCCAATATAGGAAATTACAGATCAGCTTTACAGATCAGCTTTCTGCAGTTTCTGACCTGGAAATTACATTGAGTGCTTATCAGAATGCTTTTTATCTAGCCTATTGTGTTGCTTTTCCTGCTCTGGTCCCCTAAAGATTTGTCTCTGATCCAACTGTAGGTAAAGCAACCCATTGTAAGTAAACACACCCACACATACACTAAAAGGATGGCCAGAATTCTGGAAAAAGAGTGGGGACATGGGAAACTAAGTAAGTTGCTGAAATACGCATTGCTAGTATCTCCACCCAGATTTGAGTATCCATTCTTGATGCAGCCAGGCAGAAACAAAGCAACCCAAAAAAGATGAACTACAGCAACCCATATGGAAGGAGTTTTAACATTCATCTAAAGACTTGATAAGAGCAAAGCCACAGTGAATAAGGCCAGAATGCAGGCTGAGTCAGATGTGAAGAAAGGTTGGTTTTGCAGACAGTGATTCCTTCATGACCCCTGTTGGATTTTCTGTAGCGATGAAGAGAACACCACCCAAAGCCCTCAGGTAGCTGTGGGAGCTGCACCTTCTGTGGATATTGTGGTTAAATCCACCAGGGATCACAAACCAGAGCCATCTTTTAGCCAGGGCCTAACAGTGAATGGGAACATCTTGGTCTGAGGACTTTTTCAGTACAAGTACCAGGAGCTGCTCAAGTATCAATAGCCTCGGTATGGCAAGAAAAGACTTAACCAAGAGCAGGTGCTCACACAGTGCAGTGTGGACATAGGACGAACGCTTCCCACCACCAGCTCTGAGGGAACATCTTTGCCTCCTGCTTCCCCCAGTGTGGCTGCACTTGCTCAGTCTACCTTCTAAGCATCACACATGATCCAAGGAAGACACTTGGTAGACTTGGGCACTCACTTCCCTTAAGCGGAGTAATTTCATTGTTTTTCCTCACATGTTTTCTCATAGCAACCTCTGAGCTACTCAAGACATTTTGATGAGCCCACCCAGTAAGACAGGATACCACACTGAGCACAGAAGACAGTCTTCTGTCAGCTGCTAACTAATAACTAACGCAGTTCACTACACAGTGATGTATCAAAGCAGAAAATAACCGTAAATGGATGGCTAACCAGGAATTAGACTGACATCTCAGAGATGGAAACAAGATTTCCATTATAAACGATGAGCATGTTCACATTCATTAAACATTATCATTTTCTAAATAAAAGCAGTTCCCAGTAAGACATTTTGGAGGAAAGCCATTGTCTACAATTCATATTTCCCCTTATCACATCTCAGTGTTTGCCAAATTTCCTGTGAATGCTGATGTAATTAGGAAAACACATTTTTCCCCTGCATAGTACATTTTTATTTTGCTTGAGTTACTTTATTGGTAAAGCTGCCTTGAGGACAATACCAGTTGGCCAATAAATTCAGCATATGTTTAGTGTCTTTACATAGGTAGAAATTAGCTTTTCTTCCCAGTCAGACCCCATGATATACAATTCTGTCTTGTCAGAAGAAAGGCTAAAGAGACAAAGCTAGAGGAACACTGCAGATACACCACTGACAGTCTCAGCATTTCCTCAATTGTTAAAACAGCATGGCATATGCTTTGTTCTTCATCTTTTTCTTTAGAAGAAAACATTTGCACATTTTGAGGAACATTTGCTACCAAGATTACTTATGTAAAGAAACTCAAGGTGTCATTCTGCAGAAATTGAGTTGTTTGCATTATTCTAACCCAAAACTTTAAAATATTGTTGTTTTTTTTTTTCCCCCAGTTAGCTTATCCATATAGCTCTGCATTTAGTTTTCATTTTCATCTTGATTATCTTTATTGCATTGTCAGTAGTTACAGGTGATTGAACCATAGGTTAGACTGCAACTGTCCTTGAAAATTTGTAAGTAGTACATTTTTAATATTACTGACATTCTAGGAAAAAAGTATTTTTCATATGAGTGGCTAGAAGTGTTCTTTCTACAGAATAGCCTCTAGAGCTCTGCAGAAGTATTCATTAAGAAAAAAAGAAATGACTATTCCCATGAAAGTTGAACATAAACTTTTGGAAAGAATAAGCTGTCTTGATCAACTAAGCATTTAAGCACATGCCTAAATTTAAGCCATTGAAGAAGTCCCATAGTGCCTAAGTATTACCGTGTAAGTAGATCTGCTGAAGTCATACCAAAGCACTTTGCAGAACTGAAGTGTGGACACTGGTGTTGGGCACTAACATATGGTGCATAGATTAATGATGCTTTCTCCTCTGTTAATTATCCCTAACCATAGTTATGTTCTGTGAGCTGTAATTAATTGTGAGGCCTGATGTGACTGATTCACATCTTAATTTTGTTTTCCGTGGTGGTTTTGTTTTTCCCCAGCATGTAAGGAAACCCAAGACAAAATCTTCCCATAGTAGAAGTATGGTGAAAGTATCAAGAGAAGAGCAGGTCATGTTTTTCTGGCCTCTTCAAGCTCCTTCCCCAAGGCATTAGGAAAGTGAAGACAGGATATCTAATGGTTAGGAAGCTAACTGGGGAGTTGGGAGGGTTGGTTTCAGGTCTGAGTCCAGCTGTAAGCAGCCTGCATGACCTTAGGAAGGCGTCTGCATACATATTTAAACACAACATTAAGCTTAGACTCTGGAGCAGCAACTGGGACCCCAACACCCTTTTTTTGAGCAGGCCATACCTGCTCAGCAACAAAGTCAGGCTCCAGAAAAAAAGCATGATAAGTTCTTGGGGTGAGTGTGCAGAATCCAGTTCAAAAGCACCTGCTGCAGGGTGTACATGGGGTTCATAGGTTGGACACAGATCCTCAGCTCTGTCAAAGCCAGAGTTGTTTCACCTCTCCCATGCCTTGGGACTTACAAATTACAGTATTTCCTGTGCTTTTATAAGTAGGGGCATGACTTCCTCAACTAAGGGCAGTCAAGGATATGATTTTTCCTTTGGGTTCCTCAGTGATGAGGGGGGCCACATTCCAACACCAAATATTCTGGCCCTAATGTTGCTTCAGTAGGTTCAGATATAACTGTACAAAGGCCACTAACTCCTGCCTGTTTTTGTGGTCTTCAGAAAAAAAAGACAGCAAGGAAGAAAATATCTGAGCTGGAAGAAGACCTAACTCCTGACAGGTAAAGCTAAGACCCCTTTACCTGAGATTCAGACAACGATAGATTCAGACACTGATAGATTGTGTTGTCTTTGAGCTGACTACCCTGGCAACCCTTTCAGATTTTAACTGCAGGAGGAGCATCTCAGCATATAATAACCAGCATCAGGAGCCCCACAATAAGTAAGATCTGCTTAATAACAGATATGAACTTCCACGAGAAGCCTAGATGGTAAATATCTATCACAACCTTGAAGTACAGGCACTAAAACTTTTCCATTCCCAAGGAATACCACCACATAGGGTCACAGATAACAGGGTGACAAAACACTGCTTTAATGGTGCACAGCACAGACCCTGTTCTGCAGAAGCATGCCACTAGAGCCAGTCTCCATTAACTTCAGAGAGGTTAATTCCAGATTGTAAAGCTAAGCATATGTAACATTTAGGCAGAATATGGGCCCTATTTACCTCTTTTTGATCCCAGTGACGGCAGGTGCAGAGGCACCTGGCAGTTTTGTTTACCGAAATTTTACTGAGATTTTTCCATCTCAGCTGACAACTGATAAGGGAGGCTGCAGACAGGCCCCTGCACTCTATAAATCACCATTCATGTCTGAGGTAAAGTGCATATCATATAAATCAGTTATTTATCGATAAGTGCTGGCAGACCTGACAACCTCTTGCATACCCTTGCTGTCTTAAACAACCCTATTTTACTTGGAGGATTTGAGAGGCTTTCTTCTTTTGACAGTACATTTTCAGTGATCTTGTGATGCATTCATTGATAACCCAGCCATTTTTCACCTGTGCACATAATACACCTACAGAGATGCCATTTGCTGGGACCTGCTGACAGTAGCAATGCAGGGCAGGAGCATCCTGAGCTCCCAAGGGAGCAGGGCTGGAGAACAGCATGAAGACAAACAGCCACTGCAGGAAGCAGCAGATGGGATTCACCCTAAGTCCATTTGTACAATGCACAGCAAGATCTGGACTAGATCATTCGGGTGCTAGCACTACACAATCAATCTCCCTACCTGCTTTACAATGAAAAATCTCTCCAAGCAAATATTTAAAATAAACGTGTCATGGATTATAACAGAGCATGACCTATCATACAAGAATAGTGCCAAAGCCTAACAATGTGTATAGTCTGTGTTTTTAAAATTACTCTTGCACATACCTGCTTCTTGTGTGTCAGCTTAACACAACATACAGCCATTTAAGAAGGCATGCTCTTTAGTCGTTGGCTTTTAATCAGTTTCTGTGGCATTTGGGGTCCATATTTTGCTCTTCCCTGCTGAGCAGGAAAGGAGGAAGTATTCCAGAAATAGCCAAGAGAAGTTCAGGTTCATCTCAGTTTTAGCACAGTGGAGAGGCACAGGGGCTTTAGTCAGAGGCTGATCACATCACACATACTTGGAGGAGACTCAGGGCACGCATCATTAAACTTAAACAGTAAAAATAATGACAGGAAAAGTAGAGTCATGCTCCCAACAGAACTGCCAGGTTAGTCCCATTCTACCTTCTGCTTGTTTTTATGATGCACACTCTACATAAAAATCTTAGAATGAGAGCAAGAGTCAGAGTGGCAAAGTCACTGTTGAAGGTATGTTAAGTTTCATATTTGCTTATTACTATTCCTGTATTAATTGTACCACTAACACTGCATAAACGTAAAACTTCCCAGCTCAAGTGGAAAAAAAACTACAGACCTCAGATTATATATGTGGTTTTATTAGCCAGCTGAGAGCTTCTGTTAAATATTTTTATTGTAGCAATACCAAAGTGTCCCAATTAAGGTAGGTGGCAGAGAAAAATGCTCAGATATTGAAGGGAGAAGATGTGAAAAGTGCACAAACGGTAAAAGATCTAGAAAGGCTCAGATCAGTGCTGTTTACACTAGCATTATAACAAGACCTACACACAAGCTTATTCATTTTGTGGCATCCTTGACACAGTATCAGTCTGTGTAACCTAGTGCCAAAGACCGTCACTGAAATTAATATTTGGAGAGATCTCCAAAAGAGACTGAGGAGAACATCCACGCCAACAGAAAACCAGATACAAATATAAGTGTAATCCTCAGTAACTGAGGAACTATTGCCAACCACAAACAGAAACAGGAAAAAAAAACCTTTCCCCTGAATGAGCTATGCCAGTTTCCACCGTATGTTTTTCTCCCAGTCTTCCTCTGGCCATCACAAAACCACAGCAGCTGATGGACCACTGGTTGCTCCAGTCAAATCATTCACAGTATGTTCCTGATGAAGCGAGGCTATTGCAAACAGAATAAATTCCCAGAAGAATTAATGAATTACTACTAATTGGAGAGCTAAGTGAATAGGTATAGTAGTGTTAGGATTGCTATTATTGTATAATTTAAAAATAATTTCCCAGTAATTGATATTAATGAATGAGTCTATTACACAAGTCATAACTGATCTTGCATCACCTGGAAATGGGTAATGGAATTGGTGTGAGACAGAGCAATACAGTGTGTGAGTTAGTAAAGGAGTCCTTGACATAACACAGGAAACAGTACTTATTGATTTCATATCAATGGAGCTAATCACCTCAACCTCTGAGCTACAAAATCCATTTATAAATCTGAGGAAGCATAAATAACTGAGGCTAGCTCACTTACTGAAGGACTGAGCTTTCATTTACAATTCCCTGGGATTTCTGAGTCATGTTTCTTGTCCGTAGGACCATCGATTCTCTGTACAGGGAACTAGTGGAAGAAGGAGTACTAATAAAACCCAAGACAGTGTATCTCTCCGATTACGTTGGTAAAGTACACCTTTCACAGCTAACATGGTGTTTAATCTAACCAAATCTCAAGCCATTCAAGGTTCACTAACCCCTATTTCCAGTCAAGAATGAGTTCAAGAGTAATTACACTTTCAGGACTTTACAACATGAATATCTAAAAGCGTGTATGCAAATCAAGTCTGTTTCTTAGGGGTGCTTTGTGCCTTTCACTTCTGCTTCTGAAACCAGGGCCTGTTTGCAGAGCTGGTACTTGGCCCCAAGCACTAGCACCTGGAGGCCTTGAATGTTTCTGGATGTCACAAGCAACTTGGCGGTGTAATAGGACATCCTTTAAGGAGCACTGCTCAGGCACCAAGACACCACAAGTATAATAGACTGGGGGTCGTAATTCATCCTGAGTATTTCCCAGAGAGCAGCAAAAATCACATCCTTACCATCTGCTCATTCAGCAGAGAAAGTTCACCCCTTACCTCCACCTCCCTGAACACCCCTCAGCCTTGAGGCAGTGCTTTGAGGCATGTCTGGGCCTTGATTTGAATGAAATGCATCTCTGCCTCATTCTGCATTTTAGAAATTGCCCCATTGTTGCCTGCAGCTGCAGGTAACATCAGCCCGGGTTCTCCACAGAGCTATAAAACCCACTTGCAGGCTTCACAGGGGGCCTGCCACCATCTCCAAAAGCATTTGATGGTATGTAGTAAGATCACAGCAACCTCAGTTGTGTCAAGGATCACCATTATTATTTGAATTTGCAGACATCCAGAAGCTACAAAGCCACTGGCTGTTAGTACAGCATGTACGTGAGCCAGAAAAGCTGCATTCTTGCATATCACTTCTAAGTTCCATGTTTATATAAACTCTTAGAAGCAACAACTGCTGCCTTTAGGGTCCCTGCCCATTCTGCTGAAGGCTGAATTAATAGGTATTCTATTTTATGCTCATTAAAAAGCATGAAGCACAGTAATGGAAGCTTTTCATTATTTCTTCATTCACCCAGCCAGTACTGTCTGTCCGTCTCAAGGTCACTTCTGGCCAGACATCCCCTGCTGCAGATGTTTTGAAAGCACATCCTAGCCAGTGGATAATGATTTGCAGCTGGTAACATCAAACCTGGAAGTGGGCTGAGATGTCCTTGGGCCACCTCCCCTTGACCCTGAGGTTTGAAGCCCTGGCTCCTCTGCAGCAACACAAGGGCTGCTCCAGGTTTCATAGGCAACACTCACCTCCCAGCAGCAGCAGATGTTGGGCATAAAAGTGACGTCCACATCACTCCCTTACCCCCATGACAGGTCCCCTGCATGTCACAGCACAGGCACTAGCATACCAGGCAGCAAGAAGCATGCTTAAGCTGCCAGAAGATACAGAAGGTATTTAAAGCTGGCCTGGGTTTTGGACCTGGCTTTTTTAAATATCAAAAGCCTCCTTTTAAAATTACAAAGGGACAGTCAAAGCCTCTAGATAAATAGGTCCTCAACTACTCTGCTCTTACAGGGCTGGAGCCTAAGGAAGGTCACTCCCTCCCAGTTCTTGGGAAAAGGACAAAGAGTGGAATTGTGCTCCACAGCAAGTAAAAAGCACCAAAATGTCCCTCTCTATGACAAACTGACATCACTGAACTAATTTTCTTGGTGACCTTATCTAAATTAGTCAGAGAATATCCACTGTGATTTATGTTCAGTTGCAATTAAACCCTTTGATGCCTTCTAATTAAATCTGTGAAGATTAATTCCTATCCAGTTCTTTTGATTTCTCCTTAAATAAAAGATAAAACCTGAAATGAATTTTATTCTTCAAAAGGGGAGGGTGCAGTTGTACCAAGGCTCCTCTACCTTTTGCCCCAAATCACAGCTCCACTTCTGCACTTGCCACTGCTGATTTACCTCTTGTTGCAGAGAGCTCTAGTGCTTTCCCTTTTCATCTCCAATAAAACACAGTATACTATTATTTGTATACTATTATTTTTCACCAATATTCACCATAATGACATGTAATTTATGCTAAAAATAGCCACCACGTTGTCACAACAAGTTTTCTTGCTTGTGGCCCATCCTTTTGGCTCTTTGCTTTCTAACACATCTTCTGTATGGACTTTGACAGGTCCAGCAATGTGATTATGGCTCTGTAACAAGAGCTGAGGCAAGATTAGATCGCTTGAGTTCATATCAGTGATTTTCCATTTCCTTGGTGTTTTTTTTTTTTTTTGAACAAAAAAGGTGAACTGCAAAGCAAGATCCCCATCAAATTAGGTGAAGCACTTAAATGTCTCACATAGTGAGAAGCTGAGATGTGACGCAGCCCAGGGAAAAGCTTGTTAAAATATCTTTTCCCCTTTTTGAAATCCTTTTGATAGAGTGTGGTTCACTGGGATTCCAGCCCTGCAAAATCCCAAATCTAGAAATCCTTTGCCAGCAGTGTGATTTATGGTGCTACTAATGATTCTTTTCCACAAAGTTTCTTTAAAAGGTTATTTGAGACTGACTGAATGCCTTCCACAATCTGGTTAGCAGGGAAAGTCCAGCGTGTTTAATGTCATTTTCCTTTTTTCAGTTCACCTTTCAGATTTCTTGGGGCCACATTCCACAACGATATTGCCCTGGTCGAGTCCCCGTCCCTTGACAGGGCAGGGTTTGCTGAGAGCATGCAGTATTGGTATTCCGTGGTAGTTTTTCATTACCTGAGTTATGCATTTTATAACAATGCAGTGTCACATTTATTAAGCCCATGCTTCCTCCCTACAGGCGAGTACAGCTATCTGGGGACTACACTTCGTCAGGTAGATATAGAGCCGGTGCCCTCTCTTGCAGATGTCAGGCAGCTAATAGCGCTGTATGGGATATTGCCATTAGGTAAGAGCACAGCAAAAATTACTGGAGGGCAGAATACAGTGGGTTTGCTTCCTGTCACTAACATGCATTTTTACTGGCTTTGACAGGGCTTGATTAATCGTAATCTAAAGCATTTTGCAGTATAATTGTTTTTCAATTAAGCGTTCCGAGTGAAGACCGTATCATTTTAATAGTGCATAAAGGAGCTTGCACATGCTATTGTCAGGTATTGCATTTCCATACCATCTCTGCTCGCATGTTAACAGTTTGTGAATGGCAGCACATAAAAGGAAATCACTTGGGAAAGATAATAGCTAAAACAAGCTCCAGTGATCAAAATTAATCAAGTTAAGGGAAGGGCTAAGGTTGCAATTTACCTTTTACAAGCTGGCTAATGTTACTCAGCACTAAACAATGCAATCATTTAAAGAATTAGTCTGAATACATTTTGGACATCAGAGAGAACACTTAAATGCCCTTGCAGTTTTAATGCCAGACTTAAGCAACATCTAACAACGCTGTGCTGGGTTGTTTGCTTTTAACATAAAACCTACCCCATATTTTACTTGGGAATGGCATTAAGCCAAGCTCTACTGATTGCAAGAAGTGCCTGTCTCAAGGGCCTCTACTTGTACTTCACTAGCATCATTTTCCATTTGTGATTTGATTTTGAGGGAGATTTTAACTAGGCATATCCTCCCCCAGGCTGTGTCACTTTCTGCTCATCACCTCTACAGGGGAAAACAGCTAACATTCCTTGCCTCCCCTTCTGGGCAATGCATCAAGTGACAGAGCCTTCTCCCCAGACACACACACTTTCCAAAAATAAGTGCTCAGGCTGTTCAGGACACACTCTGGGGCTCTCCTCAGGTATTCCCACCTGAAGAGCCAGGTTATCAAACGTGATGCTAGCAACACCAGTGAAGTTCTTTTTCCATCCCAAGTCTTCTTTTGGTTTGGGGTAAGCCCTCAGGGGCTGGCCATAAGCTTCACCACAATCAGTTGCAAGATTCAGCAGTGATCCCTTTCTGCACTGATTCAGTGTGGTATTTCACCTATCTGATAACTCCAAGGTTATGTTTAACACCATCTAATCTAATGAAATCAAGCCCCAAGACACTCCCCAAGGCAGGAGGAATGAGCCCTTAAGTTTCGCACTATTAAATTAGCAAAAAAATAAATAAGGAGAGGAGACCCTGGACTAGTGAGAGCGTATTTGCAATAGCAATTTGAAAAATGCCTTGGGGGGGGGAAAAAAATAGTGCCTGAGCCAAAACAAAATCAAAGGAATGGTTTCGCCTTTAGGACAATACATTATGGATGGCATTTTACTTAATTAGTCTCAGAATTAGTTAATTATATGATTGTGTATGTGTAGAAGTAAAAGTTTCCTCAATTTTCACCTGATGTCAATGAAAGTCCCAGCTTAAATGGCATTGAGAAAATTATAAGCAGCTGAAAGTAGAAATAATTGTAAAAGATACTTCATCTTAAGCCACAGAGGAGTCTGCTGCACCCCTCATAATAAATCTATGTTTTGTACCAATCTATTACAATTATACAACCAAATATTAATAAAGGCTGGGTGGCTGACAACTTCACCACATCCTGCACAGTGCTGAAATAATGGCATTCATCTCAGCTCTCAGTTCATTGCCATTTATTTGGAACATTAAGCCATTAGGGCACAGACACACAGCCCAATTGATTTATTGTTACATACTGCTCTTACCTAGCTGCCCCCTTATTCCCATCCCCTTCTTCAATTTTAAGTTCAATTTTAATTTTAAGTTTAATTTTAATCTTTAAGTTCTTAAAGTTGAGAGTTCCTCCTTACCTTTACATACGTGGGGGACTTTTCCAGGCTAATCTCCCTCAGAAACACACCAACGCCTTTGGAGCTAGTTTCTCCCACTAATCCCATACTTTGGGAGACATCAAAAGCCTTCAGAAGTGGATGCACACACACCATTTCAAAACTGACTTTATAACAATCACCACTACCAACAGGACTATTTTTTACTTTTTTTTTTTTTAACACCAAGACAGTGATTTTGCTGTGGTGTGGGTATGGATGAAGCATCTCATATTTCCTGCTTGCTTCCACCTCTGGAGTTTCACCAGGGCTTTACTATAACAGTGCTGTAAAGTACCTAAATGATACAATGGCAGCGCTGCAGGGAAGACAAGGTACCACCATCAACCACCTAAATCGCTCTCTATGTCTGTTTTCACAACACAGATTTCCACTAAGCTTTCCCAGGTGATGGAGCAGATTTCTTACAGCCCAGAATGAATTTACCTGGAGCAGCTATTGAAACAGATTTCAAAATGCTGAGCAGTCACTGCTGGCAGAGCAAGTAAAGCGTAGCAGTCCTGGCATTTGCTCACCCAAATAAAATTAAGGGAACAGGAAGAGATCCTCTTTCTCCCAGCAGATATATTTTACCTGCTCTGCCACGTGCAGCTGCCATACTCCAGCTGGAGAATAGCATTTGCTCCTCTGCAGATGAGCTGACACCACACAGCAGCAGTGCTTAGAAAAGATATCAGCAGTGAAGGATTTTGGAGTAGAGCTAGCCTAAGTGACAAATGGTCAGTCTTCAATACTCACTGAACAGTAACAGCATTTAAGAGGAAAAATGTCCAAAAATGGAGGCGCAGACAGAAGGCAGAGGAGAGAAAGTAAAATACATGGTAACATCTGGTTTCAAAATCACTGACAAATGCAGCCGTAACAGATAGTCCCATTAGTTTGTTTTCTCTAAAACTGGGGGAGCTGGAAAGTGTCGTTTCAGACAGCAGGAAGGAATTCTGCTAGTCCTATGTGCAGCAGGAATCTGTGCCCAAGGCCAATTGCAGAAAGTGAAGACTTGCTCTGACAACAAATGCCAAGCATAAAGCCACAGGTACATCTGATTATATGTCTGCCTGACAGCTGATGGAGCTCGGTAACAACTGCGGTGTAACTGAAAGCAAACGTCCCCGTGCAGAGCACCAGGCTTGTCTGTACACATCCACATACAGCAGCGTCATTTCAGCACTCTTATCTCAGAAATCTGCCAGTGAAGTAGCGATCTTTTAACCCACATATATTTAGAGCTAGCATTTGCCTATCCAAAGGTACAAGCAGGGATGGCTGGGTTTTGCTGCAAGCAGGGATGTTAGCTGAAGGGGCCACAGTTATCGTTATACACAAGTTCACTCCAGAGCACTCGTGCTACATTAATGAAACAATGAATTCGCATTATAAAATATTTACTGTGAATAAAAAAAAGTAGAACCATTCCATTACCTTTATGGCAGACTTAAATGAAAGCAATAATACTGCCATATGACTTTTTACAGGATCCCAAACAGTTCATGAGAAGGCTCCTTTGGTGAAAGCCTTATTACTGGCTGGACCTGCTGGTGTTGGAAAGAAAATGCTGGTCGATGCCATCTGCACAGAAACAGGAGCCAACCTCTTCAATTTATCTGCTTCCAACATCGCTGGGAAATATCCAGGCAAGAGTGGCCTGCAAATGATGCTTCACATGGTTCTCAAGGTACCATTTTGTGTACTTCCCTGCAAAGTTGTTGCAGTTCATCACTTCTTTTATAGCACAAATAGGAAATTTTATGGTAGTTCCTTCATACCGAACTCTAGTTTCAGCAGGTACACCACTCATATAGGATCCAAAGGGGTGCCAACCCAAATTTTAAACTGCCTTCTTGTTTTCAAGTCTTCAAAACCACTTGCTGACAGTCAGTGTGCCACTGTAGAGGATGTAATGCCCCTTGAGGAATTGCTTATAGTAGCCATATTTTTCACATTAACATTTATGCAAGCTGTGTGTTGCCTCAAATATGAAAAGCATCGTAGATAAAGAAAATTCTGTTCTCTGTTTATATGTACATCAGTCAGGAATGCTTGCCATGCAGCATTTAATCAAATACTAGACTAGGGGTGGTCAAAAGTTTCCTCTGGGACTATCGCTGCAAAACAGCTCTCCCCTGCACTGTACTGCTCTGTTTACCTATCAGCAAGCTTCTCAGAAGAGGGAATCTTAGTTCAGGATTACATTAGCAGAAATGTATGAGAAGTCTGGAAATGAAAGAAGGCGTATGAGCTGTGAAAAACATATCCCAAATCCTCATCAGAAAGGGAGACACTATCCTGGCAGGATTTCTTCCACATTCTAAGTCCTCAGCATTTCTGCTAAGGAAGGAAGCTGGTAAACATTTCCAGAAGAAATACTCTTAAAAAGAAAAAACACAGCACATACACTAGAAAAAGCCAAGTGCAATATTTTTCCAGTGCCAGAGGCCTACTAAAAGGCTGTATTCAAATTGGCTTTCCCTGGGATTTATCAGCTGTATTTTATTAAGTCTAGTATTATAGCAGGTTCTCTGACAGGTGTCTCCATCTCCAGAAAAGACAGGTTTCTCAGTTAAAAGTAAAGCAATCCCCAAGGACCCCAATTTCTTCCTGGTCAGAGTAGTGCCTAAGGAAAAGCTGTGATGCTGTGATCATGGCCCTTTGATAACACTGGATCTAGCACTCCCTGTCACAAGCTAGTGCCATCAGACTGAACTAATACTCCATCCCCTCCCTCCATTCTGCACATTTCACCCTTCTCCGCTCAGTTTCTGTGCCCTCATCAACAGCAAAGCACATGTCTGGCTGCAGGCACAGCACACACACCATCCTGTCCATCATCCAGTCCCTGCTGGAGCACAAGGCACTTAAACACAGGAGAAAGGAGGGCAGTCTTTTTCACTCCTAAAAGGTTCCAGATGAAGATATTAAGGTGTGTTTTTTATATTCATCTACACATAATATACATTAGCTGGAACATACATAAGATATACGTATGCAAATATGTATACGTATATAATGTGTGTACAATCAGAGATAGATGCTTAAAAACCCTATTTTTTTCCAGATTACACAAGATCAAATGTTACCATTATCCAACACCTCCTCCAAAATTAGTGAGAAGCAATCCAAGCTTACTTCTCTACTGTTGCTCCTGCAAAAGTAGCAATGACACTTCAGGGCACCTGCATAATGTACTAGGATAGAAGTTGCTCAGAGTCAATCACATGGAATAAGGGCTGTCCAGGCACTTGCTTATCAGAAGGTGACTCATTCCAGCTGCAACAGCAGTACTGCTCCACACTCCACTCCCTTAATAACAGAGCAAATAGCACAGCATAGTCTCTTCCCAAGGAATGCTTTGTCTTCGCGCTCTTTTCTCTGCAAGCTCACATTGGCATAGCACCTGTCTTAGCATCATTCACATCAGCTACATTTTGCTTCCATTCTTGATTCCTTTGGTTGTTTGACCTCTCCCTGACACCTTCTGTCTACATGGTTATGTCACTAATTTGTCCCATCTGTTGATTATTCTCAGAGCTAGGCTAGAAACAATCTTCCATCTACAAAGCTAGCACTCTCAGGCTGCCACCACTCGAGTTACAGTCCCTCTTCACCTGGTTTTGAAGATGCTAAGTGTCATTTTCCTTGTCTCTGAGAAACTCAAGTCCCTACCAAGGCCACCTACTCCTCCTGTTTTACAATCAGTTGCTGCTTCTTTATAGCATGCAGTAATCCCATCCAGTTTGATAGTCCTGAACCTGGGACAGAATAACTTCATGCAACAGCTTGGTCAAGTTATTTCTTGACTAATGAGCTGAAACTCTTTGAGAGATCTCCATCCTACCTGTCATCTCAGTCAACTACCAAGTCAGCTCCCACCTTTGATTTGGTCTATGATACCAGTTGCCATGGCTCAGAGCTGCTTATGCTGTGCCCTTCATGTCCTGTAGCCATATCCTCACAAACATCCACCTTCCTTCAAGTTTTTTCTGTGCAGCAACAACTGAAAGTTATCTGGCAACAGTCAGAGCACTGACACACTAAGTATGCCATCACACTGAGCAGTACTGTCATAATAATCCTTATTCTCCTACTGCTGTGGCCATCTATTATGCTTCCAGTAGTGCTCAGAATCCACCGTTTACAGCTGCTAGCACAATCAAGTCCTGTGCTCTAAAGCAGTACAGAAACTGGATTATACCATACTCTTAGACATCATTTTCTTAATCAGTTTTGATTAACTGAGAATATCAAGCAAGAAGGAAAAGGAAACCTTTATATTCTGATTTGCAGGTGTCCACTGTTACCTGAGCTACAGCAAATGCAAGACAAACACACATTGCAATTTCTTTGACATTAGAAACATGAAATACTTTCCTGCAAAAAGCTATTTTCACCCATGGTGAAAATATCAGGTATACATACTTGCTTTACTGTAAGACTACAATAGAGTGGTATGTACAGCATACGAGCCATGAAAGCAAATGGTATCCTGCAGCTGACATGTAGTCTGAGAGCTGTAAATATAAAATGCTACTGTCAGACCTACTGCAGTACACCTCGTTGAAGTGCTTTGCATGCAGATGATTACTGAAGGATTCACCTGATCTCTATAATCAGAGACTTCTGGCCTTTTTTATTTTTTTTGAAACAGCAACTGTGAATGTTGTCAAGCAAGCTTTCTGCTCCAGCTCTCCAGAAGTGCCTTATGTGAGTTAGTGAAGCCTACAGTTGTAAGTGAATGACAGGAAACATGGCAGTTATGTTTCTCTTATCATACAACCCATGTAACCACTGTTAAACACCAGGATTTACTAAATATGAATTAATGGTGCTCTGTGATAGAGGTGAAGTAACCCTGCATTTTCATTTACTTATCATATCAGCAAACAACAGAGTTTCTATAATGAAAGGAAACTCTGGAGAGCATAAAATGACCATCAGGAAACTTTCCGTCCATAACAGAGCGTTGAGTGCTGGCAGTTGTTTTGTGGGAGACACCCTAAACAAGTGAACAGCACTGGAAAAAATGAAGCTTTAATTTGTTTCAGATGCAAGAGCCAAATTCATCCCCCACCCCCCTTATTTCTGGGAGGAGACTTGCAAGAGACATACCAGCCCTGATCCAAAAAAGGAACTTGTGTGTTACTCAAAGCAGGCATTTTAAATGTCATATGGAGGAAATGACTTCTCATACCAGAACAGGAAAACACCAACATTTCAATCTGCCTATTCAAAGGAAATGTAGGGAAGATAAATATTGAATAGGAAAGCAATTGAAAGAAGCTGGAATGCCAGGCCCAAGCTCTTGTGTCCTCCATAAAGACAAAGTCCACCAGGTCAACTGTGCTTCTGAGAAGAAAAGATCCGTCTCTAACATCCAAATAATTCCCTGCAGTTCTCAAAACAAATCTCATCCTTCAAGCACAAACCAGAACATCCTGGAATCTCTCATTTAAGCCACATTTTCCATTTGCTGAGCCAGCTTGAGCTCAAATGGAGCTTTCTGCCAGCTTGTACCAACCAAGGGCTTGGCTCTCCCCTGTTCCCATCAAGGCGCAAACACAGCTGCAGCAGTGCTACAGCTTACAGAAAGGGTAGTGAAGGAAGATAGTGAGGTAAACAAACTAAGGGAAATCCAGAAAGGATCATGGAGAAAACACAGAAGGCTGATTCAGTGACACAGAGGTGTTAAAACACAGGTAGTTCACAGGGCTTGACTCCAAGGCAATAAAAGCCACAAGCACTGGTCTTCCATTAGCAGCCATAAGGCAGCCATCAGGTTAATCACTGCCAGGGTGAGACAAGCCCTCTTTCAGCAGGGCCACAGCAACAGAAAGCACATTGTGCAGAAAAGCCACACACGGGAAAGGGTTATGAGTGCAACACTGACCAGGCTAAAAGGTTGGGAAAGCAGTGGTCAGGAGGAAATACCAGCACAGAAGTTGTGTTGTGTATTGACAGCTCAGCGTACGCTGTGCAGCCGCCTGTATTCAAGGAGTGTTACAGTGCTGCAGAAGTATTTCAACACCATCATTAGGAGACTGCATTATCAGGCTATTTGGTTATGCTGTTTAGCAGATAATACTGAATAAAAGTGTTATACTAACAAAAAAAATGATTGAGCTTATTCAAGTCCAAATTATATAATCCTTGCATTTAGAAGCAAGGATTTTGAAATCTAGTACACCATCAAAAAAATCTGTATTTAGGGCCAAAAATTACTCTTTCATTACATTTCATTACAACTGAAATTTGGAATAGCACCCTCAGCCTTTCTTCCAGCTGTCCAGAGCAGTACTTTTATCTTGGTGTAGTGCAGCCTGCTAGGAGCCCAGGCACTGGAAGCTCCTGGAAGCAATGAACATCACCAGCGCTCAATTTGACTTATTTCCATGACAGAAGCTTTACACTGCTACTCTAATGTTGAAAAATTCATTGCATCCTGTCAGAAAGTAGTATTTATAGTTATTTTTCCTCTCTGTGAAGCCAGAGTACATTGGCATCATCCCTGTAGTACTGAAATACTTTCTCCTGCAGTTAAAGTCTGATCGGAGATTTCAACATCTCTGCTTTAGCTGTTTTGGAGCATTTCTGTGAATATAAACTTCAGATTGAGCAGTTTTCAGCAACAAATTCATCTTCAGGAAAACTTAGACTTGCATCTTTTAACAAAATTCCTTAAAATTTAACCAAAACCTTCAAGTTCGGAGGAGCCACGAGCATACAGCCCCTGCTAGTATCAGGTTTCTGTACTTTGATGTGTACTGATTTCACTATTAAACTCTGGCCCTCACGTGTGAAAAAGTTAACCCAAGCTAACAAAAATGCTGATTGACCTTTGTATATTGATAGACAGCAAGAAAAGTCTCTCAATAATTTCCTGGAAGAGCAAATGAAGCCTCCATTGCTCATAGCTGACCATCAGACAGCAGCTTGCAGCACAGACCGCTGCTGCCTCAGTGCAGTATTAGAAGGGTTAAGGAGCCATCTACTGGCAGCTCCAACAAACTGGAGAATGCAGCAAAGCTAATAACATTTCAATTACAAATTAATTATGTACAGTGCATTTAATTATCCATGGATTCAAACTGTCCATGGATAATTCAAATGAAGCACTTTCACGGGGATGTGCAGTCTGCTACTTATCTGCCAACAATGTAAATTAGATGCTGATAGATTCTGGGTGCCTGATCTGGCAATAGGAAGATGACTGAAAAGCAGCGTGCTGACTTCAGTTACATTAGCACCTACCAACGCCAGGAAGATAGATTCAGGCCACTTTATAGATTTAAGTCATTGCCTTAAAACAGAAAGCCCAGGAAAATACCTGTTTAAGGGCCAACCAGAACTGAGCTTCTTCATTGTATCTCCACATAATTGGTGGGGAAAAAAGGGGACAAAAAAGGACAACAAAAGGTGTGAAAATACTGAACGTTTTTCCTTAAGAGTTAAAATGAAACCGTAGGCTGATTAAAACCTTCAGGCTCCATTTTAGAGAGCTGCTAACCACTGAAGCCACCTCTGAGCCAAACAGGGAAGATCTGCATCTCCAGACTGCAGCAGCCCCACGGAAGAAATGACATGGTTCCCTTTGAAGTACCTGAGCAGAGATCAACCCCTGCCAAAAGCTCCAACAGCCTCAGTAGCCTCCCCCACCCCAATTCTCCACATCACATCACACTGCAGCATCAGACACACAGGTATGGAGGAAACACTGCAGAACAGCTACACTACTCCCCAGACTTCATACAGATGCAGCACCTCTCAGAGCAAAACACACAGTGCTTCTTAATGTTAACTTAAACGGAGCAGTAACCCATGTCAGTCTCTGAGACATCACCAGGGTCATAAACATGAGCAACAAGAGGAGAATGCATCACAGCAAGAGCAGATCCCATGGTGACAGAGCCTACCAGGGTGGTAGTGCATGCACATGCAGCTGGTAAACTTGACTAGACAGCATGCCACTAGCCCAAACCCCAGCCAGGGAAAAGTAGGTTTCAAGGGGAGCAGTCTCACCTTACCTCAACTGACCTCCTCCCCAGGCACACACAGACAACAAAAACGAAAAATTTATTGTTATCTTATGCTTCAGAAGGCAAAGGGAAGCATTAGAAACATCAGGAGAGCCCAGGTGATAGCCCATGCATTAGCAGTACTGAATTTAGTAAGGAACTCTGAGTCAATTTCCACACATTAAAACAGATTTCAGAGTCAGTACGTGAAATGCAAATATTGTTCTTTAAGAAGGCACAAGTTTCTTTTAGCAACTAACCTACAGCTTACCTTTTTCTTCCCAGATTTTAATTATCCAAAGAACACCCATCACACCACCATTGCTACATGACCGCTGCAACATTACTCTTCTCTGCTTTCCTCCAGACGTATTTATAACCTGCCAGGTGCTGACTGAATTCACCTGCAAGTGCAAATCAGTGGGGCTGATTTGCATTTGCTGCAGGTGTCTGAGCCCTTAGACAACGGGATACTCAGCAGAAAAACCTGTGTCTAAGGCTGCTGCACAGTTCAATTCAATGAAAACCCTAAGCTTGCTCTCTCCACTGTACCTGTATGCAGGCTTAGGAATATAAAACAGACCTCTGAAAATAGATAAATAGAAGATAGATAAAAACATCTGACCTTAAAAGGGCAGTTAGTATTGCTGTACTATTTTAATCCATCATTTTATTCAAGCTTGCATACTCAATGCATTGCAGGACTGAGAAGTTACCCTTTACAGTTTTACACACAGATAAATGTTCACAGAACTGCCTAGGTGCACGTATCCATTTTTGCAGGATATTCATATTATTTTTCATGATATGATGCATTGTTTTCTTTAATCCCTGTTATTAATGCTAAATAGTCCCAGCTTTCTAACAGAAGAGAAAGCTTTATTTTCCTTGATGAAGCCATTCTGAACTCGGAGGTACCACTTGACATACTCTAGGGCTGACATGAGACATGTAGCTGCAAATAAAGTGCCACATGCCAAAGATGGCATTGTTTCCACCTCACCCCATCGGCAGCACAGCAGAGCAAGTAAATTTAACAGCTTTCATCTACTATTCTTTTCCCCTGTCTTCCATCCATTTTTACTGTACAGGCACACACGCACTCTTGGTGTTTTTGAAACGTGTCCATAAAAATGAACTGTGGGGCTTTGAGGGAAGACGTTCATGACTTAATTCCTCCTGCACTGTCTGTCAGTCAAACACTAGGCTTCTGATAAATACAACCTATGGATTTTGTATGCTTCCTTCCTGGAAACAGCAGCTTCAACTGGGGAAAAAAAAAAAAAAAAAAAAGGAAAGGAAAAAAAGAAAAAAAAAAAGGAGAGAAGAATGCTGCCTCGTTACCCATTGACTCCTCCAGCCATCACTTCTGTTGCTGAGCGAAGCAGCAGAGCTCAGAAGAGCCACTGGAAAGTGATTAAAATTTGGCAGTAGAATGTCTAAACCACTGGCGTTTCTATAGCAATAGGGAGAGTGCAAGATGTGAAAAAGCCTGTAGCATTGCTGCCATCCTGCTGTGAACCAGAGGTATAGTGCTCTCACTTTGGAGCTGGAAAGCCCAATTCTGCAGACCCCCCATTCAAATTTAACAGGCTCCATTTTAATTCCTTGGCTAACTGCAAATTAAATGCTAGGTTGTAAGCTAGAAGATTGCATACCAGCCTATTTTACCAAAAGATGAGCATTCAGTAGCCACGTCGTGCCTCTCTCCCCGTCTGTTTTGACCTCAGAAACCTGGGGAAGGATCCTATGGGCAACCAGTGTAAAGCTGCTGGTGGTCTGCTTGCCACTGACCTCCAAGTCCAGGTTTTAGCAGCTGAATTTGGGTTGGGAAATGCAGCACAAGCATAGCAGTCAGCATGATCTGATTTGGGTTGGGTTCTCCACGTTAGATTCCTAAACAGAGACCAGTTTGATTTGCCAGGTCTACTGAGCAGAGCCAGCACTATCCATGAGTGCTGAACGTTCCCAGAAAAAAAAGTAAACCAAGCTAATTTTAACTGCTGAAATATGGATTCAAAAGCATAATTACAGGCACCCGGGTATGAAATTGTAGCCATTTTAATCAACTTCTTGCGTCCTCTCTCCCATTTTCTCTTAGGTGGCTAAGCAGCTGCAGCCTTCAGTCGTGTGGATTGGAGAGACAGAAAAAACATTTTATAAATCAGTGCCGAAGGCTGAAGAACAGGTGAGTTGCTCCCTTTTTATTTCAGTGCAGATAATTTCTCCTGTTGCCTTACAGCAGACACAAAGGAACAGGTGTATTTCTTAGCTTAGCACATACCAATATGACCAGACCTGCCAAAGCTTGCTTGTTAATAGCTTGTCTCACTAACATTTTTTTTTTCTTTTAAGAGAGTCTTGTGACCTCTTGGGGGCTCTTAAGAAGTCACATTTCTCTCCTACACACCCGTACTTGCTTTATTTAAAAATAGTCCAGTCGCTGCTCATCAGTGCACTGAAAAGCAGAAGAGAATAATGGAGAATTTCAAAATATGAGGAGAGAAACTAAAAGTTAGGATGAGCTTAAATTGTTCAGCTCTATTAATTTGAGAAATTGGATGGAGCCAAAGTGAACAATAAAGGAACAAGGATAAATTTCCACTGTGAAAACAAAGAGCATATATTAAATAGTTATGTTTACAGATTATTTTCGTTGGACTCCCAGGAGTCCCATTTCCATTGCTTCCATTCCTTCCTGTCTTGTGTAGCTTCCCCACTAGAAAGAAAATTAAAACACTGCCCAATAGGCACGGCAACTCAGCAACCACAGCAGAGAGCAATTCCCCTGAAATCCTGATTAGGTTCATGCTGCTTGCAAAATATTTTGATTTTAGAGCTCCATGTGAAAAATTAAACCTTTTTTCCTAAGGCAAGTCCTGCGTGTCTAGGCTACGTGATGGACACACGCCTGGTGTTTTGGAAGACCTCATCACCTTGGATGAGGCTGTTAACTTCTGCGAGGGCTGCACGAGCTGATGGGTGTGCACTGATCGATGCCCTCTGGTGGTCCTTACACCAAAAGCAAACCTTTCTCTTCAGCTCAAATTTTCACAGCAGGTGCAGATGAGGATTCAAATTAAAACTAGGGACCAAAGATTGCCTGGCGCACTCATGATTTTTAACTGTTTTGAAAGCCTCCAGTGAGGAAAAATTTCTCCCCGTGCCCTCCTCAGAGTCAGGGGTATCACCCCTGTCCTTGCAATCCAATCACTGGATCTGCAGGTATTTAATGAAATGTCTCCTCTGCACTTGGTGCGAGTGGGGGGCTCCAGGCTTGGAATCACTCATGTCCCACTTAGCTCACAGCATAACCAATATTCGGAGCCAGGGAGCATGAAAGAGGAGGGACAGGCAGAGGCAACGGGCAGTGTGGGGAGCCTTGCCTAGGAGCACTCAGGAGAGGTGGGCTTTGGAGAAGACGAGCTAAATTCAGCCCTCAGAAGCTGGAGGGACTGGAAGTGACTTTACTAATCCCAGCATGACATTTCTGGTACCGTGACTGAGAACCTGGTAAAAAGACAACTCAAATTCTTCAAATGCCCACTCAAAAATAGTCTCTCTCCAGTCCTCTGTAAGGGATGCAAAGCAGTCAAATATCAAATATGTTATGGTAACCCAGTTGCCAAGGATGATGTGCAAGCAGTTCAGCCACTCATACTTACGCAAATAGGGGTCACCTTCACGATTCACCCCACTTTTCTCCAGCTCAGGTGCACATGATGGAGAGATCCTGGCTTGCCTGTTTGACAGCTTCTCTTGCTGCTGATATATTTCTTTCAAGGCGGAGGAGATATTATTAGCTTTCAGTACATATCCATTGAATGTGTGCACTGTGGACACACATCAGTTTCAAAGTGTAACAGGAGCTGCTGGCACACAACTGCCAGTCTATCTTAGTAGGCTTAACACGAGAGTGGAACTTTTCACTTGTGTCTGGAACTGGCACAGCCATTTAAAATTTTAAAATTAAGATGAGCACATCTAACAAACCATGAATTAGTGCTAACAAACCATGAATTAGTGCGAATCTGTGGATATTATGTCATCCAAAAACTTGATGTTTGAAATGTAAGGAATAAATTAGGACTTATTTTCACAAGTAAGGGGTGAAAAAGGAAGCAGACAATTTAAAAAAAAAAAAAAAAAACTCTGCATTTTCTAATAGAGTCTATTTTCCCAGCAGAAGACATCTTATTAACATTAGGAAGGCTTGTCTGAAATTGAGGAAAGATTTCTCAGGTACCTGCTTACTATATAGTAAAAATCACAAGGTGACCCAGTGAAAGGTTTTCAAGTGAGTGTGACTGACTTGGATGTTAAGTCTCAAACATTTCTGGAGAGGCCTCTAAGTCATTAGACTTTTCTGAATACAATATACCACCCTAACCCATTTATTCATTTATGGCTTTGTTAACTGTAGAGCGACATCACAGCAATTTGATGAAGCTTCTCCAACCAATACTCACTTGAGCATTACCAAATGTAACTATCCAATAAGAAGTTTTGCTCAACAGTCATCTGTTCTGTAAACAGTAGTTCAATTTTTATAATAAGGTCAAATAGTATTTATCACAAAGAAATGAATGTTGAGTTCAAAGAGCTTGTGTTCCTGGGTTAGAGCCACAGCAAACTAAAATGACAGCAGAAATCAGGGAGCATATCTTTCACATTTAAAACACCAGTAGGGGTTGGTAGATCATAATGTCCAAGAGCTGTGAGGATTCCAGACCAGGTTACGCACCAAGGTAATTTTTCTATCTGTTAAGATTCATCAGGTGCACAGGTCCAAGCAATATTTCTCCTGGAACTGGAAGTCAGGCTTTCCTTCTTTAAATGAGTTGTTGCTTCCTTCCTGCTTTTCAAGAAGAGGACCAGCAGATGCACTAGTAAAAGACACATGCACCCAAACCCACAAATACATAGGCAGAAATCAACTCGAATTGCAGAAGACAAAGGCTTTCTACTTAGGTTGAGAATCTAGTCTGTTTATACTAAATGCAAATAGACTTCTGAAAAAGAGCCCAAAATCCCATTGTATATAACATGTCTATGTCCAATGTACATGTCTATGTTACTTGTATCTAGCATAGCTTCACCTCATTCCCTCTAAATTGTCAGTATTAATAACAATTCTTGCCTCCTTGTGTTTACATGTACACTCTGAAGATCAGCCCAAAACGTCTGGAAAAGATTCTCCCCAAATTCCTTAAGGCTTTGAAAGCACAGGACAGAGTGCTGCTAGTGGGAACCACCAGACGTCCCTTCGATGCTAATCTCAAACCTTTCTGCAAAGTTTACCAGAAAATTATTATGATTCCTAGGCCTGACTATGCTTCAAGATTTGGCAAGTATTTCAAATCATTGTGACAATTACTGCTGCTTAACATCCATGTTTATTGTCTGGTTATCCTCAAAATTGTTTTTAAGTTCAGTTTGTACCCCAGGTACTTCTCAGTTCTGGATAATTTAAGTAATACTGGAACACGCTACCCCAAAGATCAGATATTAAGAGTGGAAGCTGGGAAAATGGTTTAAAATGCTCTCCTGTGGTGACTAGCATTTCTTCTCAAGTTTTTGTTTAGAGTGCATTGAAATCAGCCCAAGCTGGTTTTTTTTTTTTCAGTAAATGAATGATAGGATTCTGTTTCAGTGCACATTTTCTATTTTAAGCTTTTCTTTTTACACAGGGAATTTCTGTTGTTCCTATCTAGTTTCCAAATTCTAAACAATACATTTTTGGGCCTCTCCATAAACAGAACAATGTCTGGAGGATTGGGTTTTGTTGCTATCAAATTCAATTTTTGAATTTACAGATTATGAGGGACATTGTAGAGACATCCAAGATTTTGCATTTCTAGCCTACCAAATGTTTACAGTGGTAGACAGGCCCTCCCAAAGTCTGATAAATTCATTGGGTAACAACAATGCTGCAAGTCAAAGCTTCTAAGGAGAACTGTGCCTTTTATTCGACCAACTTACATGGCTAGAAAAAAAAGACAAACTTTTAAGCATGGAAGTTTGTCTTCAGGTTTGAATTGCCTTGCAGTCTGAAATAGCTAAGCATTGACTAGGATGAAATGTTCCAAATTAAACTTAATAATGTGAATCAATTACTGCAAGAAAAATGGTAGTTGTTCACATCCTTCAGAAGTGGCTGGCAGATGGGCTTTTGTTCCCAGAAGTATGTATTTTTTTCTGGTTACATCATGTGATTTAATACACTTCTCCGGGTACTATGGATTCTAGATGTGGGGACTTGTAAAAAGAAGGGCTTTTCAGGTTCAGTCTAAAGATGATGTGGAAAAAAGATTTAGGACTATTCACAATGATACCAAACACTTCCAAGTTAGGACTCTCAGTGGTGCATTTCTCCTACCGGCAGCTGCTAGCATGAATATCCCTGTTGATCATCAGATCAAGGGAAACACTCCTTTCATGCCACTGATCTCAGATGGATCACACCCCAGAAGAATACAGAATTAAAAGAAACCACATTCAGTTCAGGGACCTCGCTACACAACTGCACTCTGAGTAAACCAGACAATATTACTCCACATACTCACCTTATTACAAAATGATGCAACTGTATTGTGAAGTCCATTTTTGTAGTGCCTTTCGTGGAGGCAGCCAAGGTATAGAGATGATGTGTGTTTGGGCAAGCTTAAGACAGGTTTTGACTGCCTAGCGCATTGTAAATCTCTCCCACATTCAATAATTTTCATAGTGTGGATGGGAAATGGTCTCTAAGCGAGCTAACATGTGTTTCATGTTAGGTTACAGCTCTGATAAATTACTAACAGATAAGGGACATGAGTAAGACCTAGAGAAAGGAGGTGATAGCATCTGAATTTAGCTAGTTCACTGCTGGGGATTCAACCTGTCACATTCTGGGATTCTCACCACTAATTTGGAGTCACAAAAAGGGCCAGCCAAAGGGATTTCAACTTGCAAACTTCAGAACGCCCCCAAAAAGTTAACTCTTGACATTTTAAAGCAGATTAAACTTGTAGTTTTAATTATCTGACATTGTCCCATTTAAGTGCCTGGCTTTTTCTTTAGCTCACACCTTCCCTGAAGTTCAATGGAAATAAGATACTAACAGTATGGAGCAGTCACCTTCCTATTGTGACAATTTCCAGTGCCTGACACCCAATTTGAGAACTAAAGAAACCTATCTGGGCAGAAAAGCCATGGCATAACAAACATTCATAGCCACTGTGCACAAACTTTATGTGTTCACTACGACCCTTTGTTTTGCTACAAACCAGAATACTCCAATCTGTGCTTGATGGAAACTGCAAGCATACAATGGAAATCAGTAAAATGGGAGAGTCACGGTCCTCTCCTGGTTTCCTGCTATTAATCACCTGGTGGGTAATTATCTCATATTTATGCATGACCCTTCCTGCAAGATAAGCTGCAGCACCAAATACACAGCTATGCAGAAGCAGCGCTCGCTGTTGTGTGCATCAATTCCTCTGTTATAAATCACTGATACGACCCATAGTTATTGAGCATGGTTATAAATCCAGTGGAAGATCACAGTTTGCCCAAGAGAAAAAGGTAGTACAAAGTTGTCAATAGTTATGGGCACAAGTCCCTAAGTATCTACGCTACAATCCAAGGAAAAGTCAGGCAACTTTCTCCATTACGTGACCGACCCAGCAGCCAGTAACATTAACTGTCCACCCAGTATTTTCATACTACATATGAAACAAAGGATACTCAAACGAGCTCGCCATCATTCAAGAACCTTTTAAAGACCTTTATGCATGATTCTTGTTTCTTCCAAGTGCTTTCAACATAAAGCTTTAAAGGAAAGTATAGTGAGATGGTATGAAAGTTTCACTAAGCTTCTCTGAGACAGTCCATTACTTTACAAAGGGCAAAACAACAACACAAAACTTTTTACTACTATAACTTTATTTTGGTAAGGAAAATTTGAGGCACTCCACAAACATGTAAAAGCTCCATGTCTCAGTGGTTCACATCTAAAAGATACAAACAGGTTCACCATTTAATTAAGCAAAATGCCAATCACAGAGAAATTTACACCTGGCATTTGCAACATGTGCCTGCATAGCTGGAGGCCTTTGGCTTCTAAACCAGACATTGAGTCCCCATAGCAGCCCTTGGTTCAGCAGGAGTCACCTGTGATCAGGGTCACAGAAATAAAAGCAGGCTGTTAATAAAGGCACTTCTCTCTGCACACACAAATGGGAAAATTCTGGACGAGCTCTCCCTCCATATACACGCAGGAATATTTAAGTAGTTCTTTCCATTTTCACACACATATCCACCTCACGTTATGTGCCCTTAATGACTTTCTGAAAGTACTGACTGGTAGCCAGCAATGGATCACTAATGGTTTAAGAACAGATGTGCCTAAAGGCCTCTATGCTGCAAATCTGTGGATGAAAGAAGCAGCAAATGAGAAAAAATTGAATCTTGGCTTCGCTGACCGATACCTTTATTTCCCCAGTTCAATTTCCAAACCCAAAAGCAGCATTTCTCATGCTTTCCTTAGTGCATGTCTTTGGCATTCTCTCTTTTCCGGGTCCCGATGAGCAGTGTTATGGAAGCACATCATCCAGCAGAACGGAGGAGTGATCACCAACTTGCTGAACATAAGCTGCCTCGCGAAGGTGTCTGACGGTTTCACCCAGGGACACATCGTCCAGGTGGTGCGAGCTGTCCTGAGCGAGCTGCGCCTCCTGCAGATGCCCAGGAAGCCGCTGCGGACTGCCGAGTTCATGACTCCCCTGGCCAGACAGGACCCGGTGTACAGAGAGGAGGAGGAAACGTTTAAGGTGACACTAAGAGCTATGTTAACCGGCTGTCTTTCATCGTCCCCTGTTGTGTCCTTGTCGGCACATTTGATCCAGGGACCTGCTAATTCTGCTGATGGGTTGGCACATCGCTGTTTGAGTGATGATGTATTGCCCGGCGGCGCTGAGCACCCATCTCCCCCATTTTTGGATGTCTGGCAGCCCCGGCTGTTGGGCAGCTGGATGTGCCAGGCGAGTGGTGATTATTACAGGCAGCAGCTCTGCACAGGCAGCGTGCCCGGCTCGCTGCGTTGCTGAACCTGCTGCCTGCACCCAGCTCGTCGCGAGCAGAGCAGCCCTCACATGCACGGGTAAACGATGCATGTGCTGGTGGCACGGTGCACTCATCCCTTTTGGCAGGCCTGGCTGTATTTTCTTGAGACGGCAGAGATCTTGGGCATCTGGGGTCTTCAGGGTGTTCCACACAGGGAGCGGGTCCTGTTTTTTAAAATTCTCTCAGACAGGAATTTTCTCATACAAGTTTTTGTGTAGGGGATTAAAAAATAAATAAATAAATTACTTTCTGCCTCAATTTCCACCCCCCAAGGCCATAAAGTCATGCACCTCAAATATACAGGGATCATCCTGGAGAGAGATACCTTTTCCACATGTAGCTCAGTAATAATTATTCTTCCCTAGACTAGGATTATTTTTATGCGGTGCTTAATTCTGCTTTCACTGTATTGCATTTGATTTTCCTAATAATGGGAACAGTTTATCAGTCTCAACTACAGGTCCACAATTTATTTGCCATAGTAACTTCAGTGTAGCTTAGGGACAGTTGAACTAGGCTTGAACTAGCTCGCTGAGTACAGCACTAGAGCTTGGGGTGCTGACACCACAGGAAAATGGCACGATACTCAGCTGAGGCTCTACAAGCCTACTAGCTGCTAGTAAAACCCTTGTCCACTGAGCAGGACGGCCCTGCTGTGCACCCAGGAGAGCTCAAGCCCACACCAGGGGCCCCAAACTGGGGCAGAACTTGAGTACTAAAGCCAAGAGACCCTACAAAGGATATCTGGTCTCCCCACCCCTGCCAACTTCTACACAGACGTGCTTACAAACCCTTGAGTTCCCCTGGCTGAAAGGGTTTCTTCTCGTGCTGCTCGCTGAATGCCCTCTGGTTTTGAATCCCCGCAGCGCCCTGCACAATAAACAGGATGTAGTTCCATGCAACTTTGTCCAAGTCTTCTTCCACGGCTAACCTAATGATAGTGCATATTTCTCCCAGCCCTGTTGAACGCTTTCCAATTTCCATTTTGAGCCATTTGGCTCGCTCAGCGTAGGCAGCATTTGTGATATTTGGCAAATTACTCTTTTTTCCTCATGCTTCCTATCTAAACCAATATCTTTCCTCGGGGAAAGGCTAATGGTTCAGTGTTACAGCGAAGAAAAAGCTCATATCGTTCCCAGCTCCAAGTAGTAATCCATTTGTAGCCTGAAACATGAGAGCTGGTACTTAAAGCAAGTTTAACTCGCAAATACTATTCCCCTTACTACAAATGTGCCTGTTTTGTACAGCACGGGTATGCAGACAGCACTTCATTTGAACACTGGTAAAATGATGCTGTTCTCAGTATCCCATGGCAATCATTCCCTTGCATTAATTAGAGCCCTTAAGAAAGTATTTCCTTTTATCTGTTTTAAATTTGTTTCCCTTAAATGTCATGGAACCCAGCCTCAGCACCTGTAATGTGGCACAGGGGAAGAGGATTGTCAAAATGGCCTGCGCATTAATTAACTCCAGGATCTTCATCTCGTCTCGCACAGAAGCCCCTCTTCCCGAGCCTCTAATCATTGCCATTGCTGGACCTCTTCTGTTGCTTTGCTTTGTCCCTTTTGAAGTGGGGTGGCTAAAACTTAAAGCGGCATTCAAAGCGAAGATTAGCGCTGTGATGAATCTTTGATTTCTATTCACTGGAAACATGAATCTCCCTGTTTGACATTTATATTCTGCCAGTGTTCCAAAATGAATATAAATAATGCAAAAATTTGCGATAATGTGATTTCTTCATCCAATTTACTCGAATTTCTGCCCCAATTATATATCTGCGGTTGTGAAATTGTAAGTTATTGCGCCAGGGTGATGGATAGAAATCCTTTCACAGACAGAGCAGTGGCCCTACGGGAGCAAAGGGTGGCCCAGCCAGCTCTGCCTGGCAGCGACAGGTACAAAATCCATGTGAGACGTAGGAAAGCCCATACCGAAGAGCTGTGGATGTCATCCCTCCAAGCAGCAAGGATTTTTAACTCTGCTCACAGGCAGGGCTCCTCTCCTCGTGCTGCACTGAGGTCCTCAGCCAAGGCCATGGTGGTCAAAACGGGCAGCTCCTGAGCGCACAACTTGTCTTTTGTATCCCACACATGCATGAAGGATCAGAAATAGCCATCTCCAGGCTTCTCCCTGCCCTATTCCGTCCCCTCTATGTCTCTTCTGATGGAGGAATGGGTTGGCCGTGTTTAGGACAGTGAAATCCAGTGAAATCCATGCTGGGAGTGCAGGGTTTCCTCCCAGACACCTCCCGTCACACCACCAAGATGTGGGTACGTGAGAGGTTGTGTGATGCTTTAATCCGTGGAGCCAGGGCTCTTGGAGGGGGAATGCTCAGCGGATTCAGGCAATTAGAGCAGAGATCAGCACTACAGCTGAACGTTTGACAGCTGTCAGGCTTCATTTACCCGCTGACAGTATTTAATCCACAGCACAAGAGGCACCAATAGGGTGACTGTCATCAGCCCCTTTCTGGGACTCAGGGAACCCTTGGACACCCACGGGGACCATCCAGGACTGGGAGAGGAACAAGGGCTCATCTTCCCTCTGCGCTTCCAAAACCTCTTCTCCCCAAAACTTCTCTCTCTCGCTGCTGCCTGCCTATATCACATAAACGCAGAGCAGGAAACTGGACAAGGCGAATTCCTACTGGAAGCCTTATCAGGTTCAAGCTGGAGGCAGCATTGTGGATAGATCATATGGAAAGGACAGACTAGATGGGATGTTATAGGGTGGGAGGGTTGGCAGAGACAGCAGCCCAAACAAAGGGCAGAGGAGACGCAGTGGTGGCATTGAATAGTGGTCTGTGGTCAGAGGAAAGACATTCATTCCTGGGGCAGCGTATGGATGAGTACGGCCAAGAGGGAATGCATTTTATCAATCATGTCAGCACCTACTGGCATTTCAGTCTCCGGCGTAGGCAGGACTTTGCTGATAAAGGTTCCTGTATGTACATGTGGGGAATGACGAGTCCCTGCACATTACTAATTTTAAAGCACTACCCTCTCCTTCGTTTTACATGGCTTTAACATGGCCGAGAACTGCCTTGTTGACATTACAGCCCAGGAGCTTGGCAAGTTTGCAGAGCAACTGTACCAAAATCATTTACAAGTCACAGGACTGTGAACAGGCATCTGAAAGCAATAAACAGGTTTTTAATGTTTGGGGTTTGTTTTGTTTCTTAAGCTCTCTCATTGAAATAAAAACTGTCTGGATTGATTTGCAGAACCATGAGAAGCATATGCTTTGTCTACTGCCAAGTTCCAGACCAGAGGGGGTTTTGACAAGAGCTATATACCTCGGAAATAGGGTTGATCATAGAACTTCTAACATTTCCATAACTATAGCAACACAAATGGCCCGGCTAAGTATTCCTGTTAATGAGACACACTTCAAGCGAGCAATTGCTATACTTCTTGTTATAACAATGTTCTCAAGAGATCTAAGGATTTCATTTCTGCTTCTCCACAAACCAGCCAGGATTTTAAGATTTTTGTAAGGAATGTCCCATTTTACTAGTAAAAAGTCTCTTAGACGTTCTTTCATGATTTTTTTTTTTTTTTAGTATTATTAAAACATATCATGGTTTCTGATTCTCCAGGCTTGGTATGCCAAGACACCTCTGGGTAGAGCACGAAGCAGAGCACTGGCAAAGAGTGAGAAAGCAGGAAAGGGAAAAACAGAAAAAAGAAAATGAAGGAAAAGAGAAAAACTAGCTTCCTCAAGACTTTTGCACACCAGTCACAGCTCTACTTCACCGAAAAGCGGGGAGACGATAGGAAAGCAGATACTTCAGAATAACGCATCGCAAGTTACAGCTACCCCAGGAAAGAGAAGTCATTTCTGAATGTATTTTTAAAAGTTACAAAATAGGATGAGACATCAATGTGACATGTAGCTCTCAGAGGATGAAGAGTTAATGGCCACTGACTTGCTCAAGCATTATTTATTCTAAGAGGTTTTAGGGGGCAGAGGGGTTCATTACTCAGGACTGAAACATGCCATCAACTTTTAGGCTATCCTCATTTATTTCAGCAAGTAACTCTCCTTAAAAATTGATGTCACATTAATGTCTTTCATTACTTTAATATCCTATATGCTTTATAAAACTAACTGCTTTATATATCTGTAAGTCTAATGTGTTACAGTTCTCAATAAAACTATTACGGCTATAAAGACTGCTTTTTAATTGGGATGGATTATAAGACACTTAATGCAATCTACCAGAAGCTGAATATTTACATAGCCACACGAGGACCAGCACTTTTTCACCTTTTGATGCATCACAGAAAGCAACATTAAAAAGCAGAACAAGAGCAAAAGCAAACGGTGAGGTTAGGTTTAGTGGATGTCCTGAGAATCTATTTTGTAGTACAAAACCCTGTCCAATTATCTTGTTTGCCCAAACTGCAATGTATCTGTTGCTCAAAATAAATAAACAAATAAATAAATAAATAAATAAATTATATGCAACAGAACAGCAGTGGTTATGGCATTGGGGAATATGGTCACGGAGCCTCAGCTTTCTAAAAGGTTGTTTCCTGCTGTGTTAAACCCAATCCAGCCCAGACTGCTTTAGCCTTTTCTTCTAAACCCAGTCCTGCAAGCTCTGTGTGTGCAAGGAACCCATGTGTGAGCATCTGCCTCAACACTTTCAGACTTTGGGCACAAAGCAAGGTGCTGATGCAGCCTGTGGGATCACAGCAGATGTTTCTGTGTGACTGGGCACCTGGAGCTCTGTGACACGAATGCTGTCTTCACAGAAGGACCTGAGCCACTTGGAGGGGCAGGTTCCCTGGTCCTGTGCTTTGACGTAGCGTTTCCTACTCATTAGAGTGGGTTAGGCCTAAAGTCCAGCTATCACAAGGAGCAAGTTCAGGGAGCTAAGCCAGCTCAGAAACACAGAGCACCAAGTAGTCCGTGGTAGTATTTGGACAGGTATTTGTAAACAGATGCACCATGCACGCCCTGCAGTTACAGTTCACTTTGGGCACAATTCTGGGTCACAGCAACTGCTCACTGTGTGTTAACATCTTCTTAATGTGTCTTCTGGGTAAAAGGGAATGATCACATTTTAATCCTTCCTGTATCTTTGTAGTGTACCTCCCAACCCCTTGCTGCCCCGCTTCCCTGCTGGAACAGAGTCGTTTCATCAAAAATACACTGGCCAGGGTCTTGTAGAAAATGTGCTCTGACCCAGGTGCTTCGTACATAAGATGTTTTAGGACAGAGATTCTGCAGAAAGGCGAACACCCACCCAGAAACCTGCTTGAGAAGCTGCTGTAACACAGCATGCTGTGACGGGGGTGGAATTGAGCCCTTCCTGCTCGTAATGAGAAATCAGCTGGAAAAGAGATGCTCCTGGAGAAGGTGAAGTCAGAACAAAAGCCCGTAAAGATTCCTATAGGCAACTAACTGTAGAGAAAACAATTCAAGTAATCATATCATTGAGCACAGCGGAGGGAACTGGATGGCTCTGGTTAATAAAGTGAATTTTCTCCCTGAGGGAAGGGAAGAACAGGCTGTCGTGCTCACACAACACATGGGCTAGAGCTGCCCTGACTCGGGCTTCCCGTGGTCCTTTTTGTCTGCTTCCTCCTGGCTGCCTGGCGCAGATTTCAGCCATCCCACTTTGAGGCTGTGTCCCCAGAGCTGCCCCAGAGGATACAAATCCCAGGAGAGGAAATGCCTGCTGTGCAAACCTCGGGACTGCTCCTCGCGTGTGAGTCCTCGCCACCAGCCTCCAGCCACCCCAGCAGGAACCCTGACACCAGGGACCCGGCGAGTAGGAGCTGCCAGGCCCTGGATTTAATCACTTGCAGCAGAGCAGCTACAGCATTTGGCTTTCCTCTCCTTATTCTTTCTTTGCAGACGCTCGCTTGGTTGCAGCAGGCTGGTTTAACAAATTTGGCAGCAGGTCCAAATTAAAAAAGGGTCTCTGCAACTTCGTCCTCGGTGAGAAGAGCCAGACGCTCGAGAGAAGTGGCAGGGTTTGTGCTAAAAGCCTCTTCGCTGCTCTCCTCTACAGAGAAACTGATTTGGATAATTCTGTCCTCAATCTTGCAGACAGTGGAATACTCCTCTCCACAACAGGTTTGACAGCAGAACGTGATGTGATGAAAAGACTGCATTTAGGTTGGATGTAAGCAAGACCATTAAATAATATTTCAGCGGGTTCAGTGCAGCCTCGAGAGTGAAGTAATACGCTGACGGGCAACATCCATCTCTGGGGGCACGACTCCGAGCCCATGCAGGAAGGACGTGTGAACATCTCACCTCCTCAGGTGGGCTTGGCAGGGCAGAAGCCTGCAGTTTTCCCCCAGTATTCAGTTTAAGGGGGGGAAAAAGCTCCCTGGAACAATTTATCTTCTAAGTATAGCTTGCAACGGTGGCTGCTGGTGGCATAAAGTGCAAAGCTGAATTTCTGTTTTTTCCAGGGGAAACCACAGCTGGTGTATCTACAGACAGCTCTGTGGGTGAGGGGTGCAATGAAGAGGGGATAAACCCTCAGCAGGCTAACTCCCAGGGCAAAACCAGCAGAGAGCAGGCAAATTCTGCTGCGTGGAACTGCCTTTCGTCAAGCTCAAGCTCTCCTTTTGTCCTCTTGGGGGGGGTGAGGAGCAATTTTAATGCTATTTATAATTATTATTACAGAAAGTGCAGCTCCTTGAAAATGAAGCTGTTGCATCAAGCAGAGCCAACAGGCAGTAATTTCAGTGTCAATGGCTGAACTATTCAATTAAGTGGCCCTGGCTGGATCTCCGACGCCCGTCCCGCTGTGAGGCTAATAGTGCTCTCACACGCCGTGCTGCCAGAGGTGCTGCACCGGGCTCGGGCTGCTGCGGATAAAAAGGACTGTGCCTACTCTGAGACTAGCTGCAGGGCAACTAATGCTTGCCAGCTGCAGCCTCCTGGCACAACGATCCCGAAATGGGATGAGGGAGAAAAATCCCCATTATTACCCCTGTCCTCTCCTCGGTCTTCAGCAAGTGGCTGTGGCAGAGGGCACCAGGCTGCTTTGCCTCCTGGCGTGGCAGTGGGAGGCAATCCAGCAGCACCAGCAAAGTTGAGAAAAGAAGCTGTCACGCTCATTTATATATGTAAGTGATCTAGAGAATTATCAGCTAAATTATTTAAATGTCCCATTACTATTAAATTACTGGGCATTCATTGTAAGAACAGTCATAATACAGTAACTAATTTGGTATTAATGTGAATGTCAGCGTTTCATTGCAGTTATTTTGTACTTCATCATAAGATAATTTACCAATAAATTAATTGGCTTAATTGCTTCCTCCGAACCCGGGAGAGCTACATATGACATGACTTTTTAAAGTGTTCAGAAAGACAAGGAGCGAGCATGCCTCAACCACACCAAGTGGGACCCCCCTCTAAAACACCCAGGCTCCTGACGATGGCAAGGAAAAACTGAGGATGAGGGAGCAAAGTGTGACTTCGCTCTCCTGGGGACCACCGAGTCCTGGCACATCCTTGCCCTGCAAGTTTTCAAGTGCTTTAAATGTAGTCCCTATGGCCTGGTGCAGTGCTGAGCTTGGAGCAGGAGCCCAGGCAGTGGTGCCAGCACTTGGGGCCCCTCCAAGGCAAGGGATGCACCTCGGAGCCATTCTTGACAGTCTCCCTCTTCCCTAAACTCACCAGGCTGTCTTCACCTCCCCAAAACAGCACTGACCCTCAATTCCCATCCCCTGGGCGTCAAATGGACCAGAGGCTCAGGTGGCACCTGCCAAACGTGCTCCATGAGATTTGGGTGGCTGCCGGTTTGCCACAAGACCCTCTCTAAGAAAAGTGTCATAAATAAGATTGTAGGTGTGTAGTAAATACCCTGCCTCAGATGAGATGCCTGTCTCCTGATTTAAACACTTTTGATGAGCCTAAGAAACATAAGCAGTTTACCAAAGCATGCAGAATAGGACAGATAAGAAACCAAAAATGAGCAGATCCCTAAGTCAGAAGGCACTGAGCAGGAGAGAAAATGCAGGGAGATCATTCTCAGGGTTGGGACTTCATAGGAAATCCTTGTTCGTACTGAAAACCTCATGTGAGCCAATGTGCACAAGTAAATTGTAAACGGTCACAGAATCATGGAATTATCAGGGTTGGAAAAGGCTTTCAGGATCACCAAGTTCATCTATCAGCCTGGCCCACCAAGTCCCACCAGCAAGCCACGTCCCTCAGTGCCACCTCCTCATGTCTCTTAAATAACCCCCGGGGACGGGGACTCCGCCACCTCCCTGAGCAGCCCCTTCCAGTGCCTGACCTCCCTCTCCATGAACAAATTCTTCCTAATGCCCAACCTAAACCTCCCCTGGCACCACTTGAGGCCATGTCCCTGCATCACCTGAGGGACAAGACGGGCACCATCAGACCACAGACTCCTCTAAGTAGCTGCAAGGCCTCCCCTCGGCCTCCCTGTCCCCAAAACAAGCAACCCTGGATCCCTCAGCCACCCCTCACAGCCTCATTTCCAGGCCCTCCCCAGTGTCTTCGCCCTTCCCCACATGTGCCGAGCATCTCCACAGCCTTCCTGTAGCCCCAAACTGAGCACAGCTGTCTTTGCAGAGTTACAAGGCTTATATATTTTTGACACTCCTGGCCTTCAAACAGTCTCTTCTCCTAGGTAATTCCTTTAAAACCATTTGCTCATGCAAGTAAAACTCCCCAGGAGAGCCCAGCTGCCCACAGTACCCAGGGGCCTGAGGTGCTGCCCGCCACCTCCACGCTGATCCACAGCCTCTGGGCTCCTGCAGACCCAGCACTGTCCTCACCAGCACGTCCCATGTCTGACTGTCCCCAGCAGGGGTTCTGGCCTGGCAGCGAGCTTTCAGCCACTAAAAAAAGTCCCTCGCTGGGTAAAAAGGCAGCAGACGACGTGAAGTCACGCTCTCACAATGCGCCTGGGGTATTATTAGATCCCTGGCTTATGTCAAGCGCTCGGGCTGTGCCGCTACGGCCAAAGCCCTCTAATCAGGCGCTGCAACTCCTGTTAAAAGCAGTGCCAACACTTGTCCTTGCTCCCTGCCAACTCCACATGAGCTGTTTTTCCTTGGTAGGCTGATTTAGAGACAGGGTTGTTGGGAGTGCTGCTGCCGGCTCCTCCGGTGTGGGGACTTCTGCATCCATCGCCGAAGCTTTCTGGCAATCCCTGTGAGCCTCCGCGAGCCTCCGGCCTCCAGAAGTTCAGGAAATATTTTCTTCTCATGGAAATAGGAAAGGCTCCTTCAGGAGCACGGTGGGTAAGGACAGCTGCTTTTCAGTTTCTCGGTTTAAATGCTTTTAAATAAATTAACATGGCTCTTCTGCAAGGAGCCGGGGATAGACCGCGGGGGACCCGGCGGGTTTGGCACGTGCTCTTCTGCCACCAGGATGGCATCAGGCCATGCACAAAATGCTGCTCGCGTCTTTATTTAGGGTGATTTACCCCGGTTCTGGGCAGCCTGTGGTGCTCCCACCCCAAAGGGGCATGGTGCTGGGCTCAGCCCAGACTGGGGGCTCAACACAAGGCAATGCCTCCACCCGCAGCACACCCCAGCCAGGGACAAGACCCAGCCACAGGGTTCTTGTAATGGTTTATTGTTTAAGTTGCCATTGGAATTTAAAAAAAAAAAAGAGGAAAAAAAAAAAGACATTTCTCAGCAAAACCCCCCAAATCCTGTAATACAAAGTGAAACTGACTGTTCTATTAACTCCCATCCTGCATCAGCAATTTTCTAAAGTGTGGAAATGTTATAATTGACTTTTCTGCTAGTAGCAAAATGTCATTTTTTCTTAATACTTCCTAAGTCAGTAATGCATTTCAAAAGCTTCTGATGCCACTACCACAACAGGACTTACAAATTAGCACATTTTTAGCTTTTCATTAAACACAATACAAAAAGTCTCATCATATTAGGGTTTCTCTCCTCATTATTGAAAGTACTGTGACTTTGGAACTTCTCGCAGCAAATTATAATGCACTCAGCCTGGGCCCATTGTAAATCAGGACTTCAAAAAAGGTGGCACGTAGTTGGTCCTCTTTAAGCACTGAAAATATCGGAGTCTATTTGAAAACGCCTTGTGTAGTCTCTCACTAGCCTTGCAAATCATCACAGCACCAGGTAGAGCTTCCTTTTATTTTTCCTCATGGCATCAAGCCATTTCTATTCTGGCCAGGAAAAGAGGATTATTTCTTGCTGGGATTCAAAAAAAAAAAAAAAAGGCACATGCCTAAGATAACAAGCTGCATAAGATCCCCCAGATCATTTAGGATTTAGGGCTCTTTGCACACTCCCGGTGTCCATGGGGCTGTGCTCTTCAAAGCAGGGGGCTTCCTCCAGCTGGACGCCGTGGCTGCAGTACCGAACAGAGACTTCTCACCCTCAGGTTTTCCCACTAATAAGTGAACAAGTATTTATTTGGTGGGTAAAGGGTAAAATCCAGAACACACAGGCACCAGGGAGGAACAGAGGCATGAGCCAAGGCTGTTTGTCCCCAGGGGAGCAGCAGCAAGGTAAGGGATGTTTAGCGGGCCAAACAGCTTGGGTTGCCTCTGGCCCCTTCAGCTGCCTCCAGCAGTGTTTTCATCCATGCTTGAGGCCACAAACCCTTACAGAAGAGAACCAGGGGTGCCGTTGTTCAGCCCCAGGCACATCCTCATTTGCCCCAGCTCCTGGTGTCCCGATTCATCCTGGAAAGCGAGGAGCAGCCGCCGAGCCTGCCCACCCGAGGGCTATTTAATGGAGCGGGACGCGAGCTTTCTAAGTAAAAATTAATCACGATCGCACTCCAGGAAGATAAAGGATGGAGGATAAGGAGAAAGGAATGAGAGGAGAGGAAGAGCACCAAGAGCGATGAGTTGAAGAGCACGAGCCCATCTGGGCCTGAGCCATTCAGGCTGCTGTAATCGGCCAAGCCCCTGCGGGGCTGACACAGGTTTAAGGGCTGGGCACGATCCTGCCCTCGCCTGATGAGCAATTGGAGCAGCGACTAGATGGGAGGGTTTGACAAGTGATAGACAGCAAGCGAGCCCTTTGAAGCCAGTATCCCTGCACTCTGCACAAAGCTGGGGTAAGTTGTCCCTGTCCTTGCTCTAATCCGCGGTGCCCTCAGACATCTCCAGCGAGGAGCTGGTAGGGCGATGCTTTTTGGGGGCACAATGAGGGCTCTGTTAGCCCCATCCAGGAGATGCAGCACACCCCACACGATGAAGAGCTGCCAAGCTGGGACATCTCCACGCCAGCACCTTGCTGACAGCTTGCCCTGATGGATGGCCAGGTGCCACAGCCGGCCCCACAAACCCGCTGCCTCATCCCAATGTTTCAGCAACCCATAATTTTCCAAGGTGGTGTTTTCTGCCCGTAGCCGGTGAGTGAGGGGCAGGGACCAGCGAGCAAACCAGATGGCCCTCTCGTTAAAGCACAGCTGTGCCAAGGAGAGGTCGTCTCCGTAATGAATCGGGATGAGTCCCCACTAATTAATGCTGTCAAGTGAAGTTCAGATGTGTCCACTGGTCAGGAATAAATCAATCCCCCAGAAATGCATACGTCCAGAAAGGGATAGTTGAGTTTGTTCTTGTGTCCCAGAGGGCAAGCAATTATCCCCTTAACTTTCTCGTTAGGGCGCACTCGGGAAACACACTTTCAGATCTCTAAATACCTTCCCTCCACAAATGCTTTACGCCTTCAGGTGGCAAAAGCTGCTCCAGCTCGGGAGCAAAACCACACGGGGAGGGCCCGCAGCTGCACCTGCCCAGGGCTCTGCCTCCAAAATGCCTCATGCAGCAACATGCAGCCTGCTCCTTGGCGAAGCTAAACGCAGCAAAACATGGCTTTAGCAACACCAAAACCCCTTCCCTCGCTGCCAGCCCACCCCACAGCCCTCCACCCACAGCTTCACCCAGCACAGACGCACGGCCAGGGGGGACCCACGACCTTTCCCGTGCTCCAGCCGTCCCCCCCGAGGTGATCCCACAAATAACCCAGCCTGGCTAGCACGAGACCTCGCCGCTGCCGGGAAGGGGGACGAGACTGCCATGCGCCTGCTAATTAGCAAATGCCATTACCCGCTGCGGTGCCGGGGCCGTGCGACGGAAGGTCAGTTTGATGTCGTTTGCCGTGCTGGCGCTCGGCGTGACATTTCACGGCCGCATTGCTGAGGGGTTAAATAATTGGTAGCGCTCCCCTGGCCGCCCCCTCGCCACCACCACCCCGTGGAAATGTGACTCCCCTTAAAACAGGATGCACACCAGGATCAGATTCGCACGTGGTGATTAACACAGCCGCGTTTCTTCAGCGGGGAGGGCAGCTGGGGGGACAGGGGAAGCCGGCACTTGGTATTTTTAGTGCAGCTAATGGCTGCGGGTTTTTACTCCTGTCTACAAGTTAATTGACAACCTTAAAAAAAAAAAAATAAATAAGGGTGCAATGTTATGTGGTTAGAGAAAGGTTTTTTATTGTTATTATTGAATCGAGTTATTTGTTTTTGAGATAGCGGGGCTGCTATAGCGCAGAATACCTGACCATATTATATAGAGCTCTTAAAGGAGAATGCTTCAGCACTATTTAAATATTATCTCATTTCCAATAACCCCCGGACAAAATCAATGCAGCCTCCTGGAGGGCACATCTTTCCCCGGGATGCTGTTTTTGCAGCAAAGCTGCTCCCCCTGCCCTGGGGGGGGGTTCATCCCCCTGCCCGTGGCAAGGTGGTGGCAGGGGGCCACCGGAGCTGCGCTGTCACATGGGGGCGAGGAGCGCAGGGGATATGAAGGTGGTGACATCTGCCTGGCAGGTTGTGTCCGTGGCAGGCAGCAGCGGGTCCTGTGGGACAAGCGGAGGATGCCGGCACCCAGGGCAGGCTGGCAGGGAGCGGGGCAGGCTGGCAGGGAGCGGGCAGAGCCGCCCTCACACCACCAGCCCCAAAAGGTAGGCTGGGACAGCACCTGGGGGGCGCAGCCTTGGACCCATCGCGGGGAGCTTGGAAGCTTTCTTTTCCCCCCGACAGATGGTTTTCCTATTTTTTTTAGGGGTTGGGTGGGAGGGGGAGAGCTTTAAATCCATCGTGGGCTTCAGTCTGTGTCTGGCGGAGGCAGAGCTATGTCAGGGGCTGCTTCGCACACACGCGCTTGAAATTTTGCTGGAAAGGGTAAAAAAAATAATAATACGTAATGCCATTTTCCGCTCCCGGAGGGCAGCTTTAAATCACGGCAGGAATGCCAGGAGCAGGCAGGGCTCTCGGCACGTGCACATCCGGACCCTGACGATTTTTAAGGCAGCCAGTTCCTGGTTTTTGAACCTTCAGGGTCGACAGAACAAGTTAGCAGGGTCTGAAGTCTCCGCAGTGTTACGACTAAGTTGTTATGTGGCAGCTTAGGGCGATAACTTGGGAAACAAGCTCTCACTTTAGTCATTTTGGTTTTGCATATTGTGCTCCTTCATGTGACAGGAATGAGCTTTCCTCATAATGCGAAGCCGGCGCAGACAATTTAAGTCATTATTAATAGATACACTTGATCTGAGGAAGTAAAATGCTTAATGTTTTGTTAAATGAGGTGTACTCTGCAAACATTCGTATTCGGGAAGAAGGTTAAGATACTACCCCATGCTAGAGATTAATGATTGCAAGGCTACTGCTAATGGAGTGAGCATCCTTGGGCTCCCCACTGCTGGGGGCCCGATGCTGGCCGGGCCATCCCTGCTGCATCGAGCCACCCCCTACTCATAAGGTGATCTCAGGTGTCCCAGCCTACCCAATTCTCTCCCCCCAGCTGTTTTTAACCCCCCTGCCAGAAACGATGTTGAATCTGTCATCGCCGTGACCCAAGGCGTGAGTGCAAATAGATGCTCGCCAGGAGGGGTCGTGGAGATTTCAACACACTCCCGATGGCAGCGTAGTATCTCGTGCACACCCCTTGCAAAATTAGCCCACGTCCAAGGAGGTCCGGGCTAAATATAATATTGACTACACTAGAAGTAGTATTTAACCTAGTGCTAAATATAGCAGGCTGGGGAAGGCAATGCCCTCGGGAAGGCAGTGAGAGCAGGGGCACGTGAAGCCAGGCTTCCTCCGTGGCACTGCCAAAATATGATGGCGTGGCTGCTAACGGGTGGAGGGGAGAGGTGAGGGGCAAACCTCCTCCTGCTGCAGCTGAGGGACCCCAGGGGATAACAACGGGTCCTTCTTCAGACCGAAACCATGCTGCTGGTCGGTCAGGGCCTGAAGGGTGAGTGGAGCGAAAAAGAAAAGGTAGAGGAATAGCAACATGTGCCCAAAAGAATAAAATTAAATTAAAAAAAAAAAAAAAAAAAAAAAAAAAAAAAAAAGGGGAGGTGATGGGGTTTTGAGGCTACACCAGCCCAGAGCACCACCCTACTGTCCCCCCGTGCCTGGAGCATGATGCTGAAGCTGTACAGCAGCGGCTCACGGGATGCCAGCTCTATAATTGTCACCGTCACTGGACTTCTCGGGTGACCTTGAGCCACGAGCCCCTCCTTGGGGGCTCGCCGCCACCCCGGCACCTGCCCCGTGCTTAAATGGCAGCAGAGGCCGGGCGCTTTCTGCCTGCTATACAAGGCTCTGCCGGGAAAAGCAGCTTGCTGGCCAAAGCCCCAGGAGGTTTTTACCTCGCTGGCCTTTGCCAAGTGCTTTGCATCCTTGCAGTAAGACGCCAGGCGTGCCAGGCTGCACGGAGCTGCTCACGAATGGGATGCCTTCCTTGCAGTCTTTCCATGCAGCAAGGTTGCAAGCAGGTAAGGAAAGCAGAAAAAATATATACATAATCTTAGAGTAAAAGCAATTTCTCAGTTTCTCTAACTCTTTCACAGCACTCAGGGGCACATGGACAAGTTTATATGGGATTGGACAGACAGGAAGCTGGTGAAATTTCAATTTCCCCCCACTAAGTGATAGGTCAAGTTTCCCTCCCAGCCTAAACACGCATGTCCCAAGCTGCTGCCTGCAATTAAAACAGCGATTTAATCAAAGAGGTGCTGACACAACACAGCTCTGTGCACATCTGACCCTCATTGTATCAAGTATCCATTATCATCTGACCCCTCTGGCGTTATAAATACAACAACAATAGAGCCTTAACGGGATTATAATTAGACAATGAGGACAGGACAATGGAAACAATGAACTATAAAAGCCCCTCCGCTCTCTTGGCTAGGACTCGTACAGGGGGAGCACTGGAATGGATGAGCTGCCAGGACCGGTGAGAGAAAAGGTGCAGATTTCTCCCAAACTGGATTCGGAGCACCCGCTGAGGTCTCTGGCCAACAAGTACTACACGGCCCTGGTCAACGGAGACCTGAAAAGCCTGGAGGTGCTGACCGACAGATACTATGAGGACGTCAACCTGGTGTTTGAGATCAGTAAAAACGAGATGGAGTGGCAGGTGAAAAGCCAGTCATCTTACGGACTCTCAGGTACCTTTTATTTAAAGGCCAGTCTGGAGAAAACCCCGGCATTGACTAACCTCAGCGGGAGAGGCACTGCCCTGGTGCAGCCAGCTCCTGGCTGGCTGTTCCTGGCTAAAGATCTACACCCAAAAATGCTTGGTGCTTCCTTTGCTTGCTTCTCTTCTGCACATACTAACCCACCAGAGGGGCAGGGCCATCCACCTCTCCCATGCTGGGATGGGGCGGCCCACAGCTTAAGGCATGCTTGCAAGCAGGCTTACAGCCAGATTCTTCGCGTGGTGGCTCGGAAAGATCCCCTTGGTCCTGTTTGGCAGCAATGGGGTGCTGGCACAGCTCTTCCTGCCCTGCTGCAGGTGGGAAATCCATGGGCTGCTTTTTAGGCAAGGGGAAAGGAGTGGAGCCTGCAAATGGGGTCCCATCTGGAGCTTATGGTGGGTAGGGCATTAGTGTACCTGTCAGGAGGAAGCACTGGTGCCTTGTAGAAATACAGCATCACCTAGAGTGATCACCATGTCCAACCATCAGCCTGACCCACTGAGCCCCATCACTAAGCCATGTCCCCCAGTTCCACGTCCACACATCCCCTAAATACCTGCGGGAATGGGGGTACCCAAGGTACCAATGGTATTGGTACACCAATACTATTGATGTGCACTCTCCAGGCAAGGTTTGCTGCCTCTTGCAAACAGCGCTTGGAGCAGCCACCGACCTTAACCACATTTTCCAAAACAAAAGGTTTCTAGAGAGGTTTTTAAAAAAGGAAAACGTGGTGCATTCAGATCTTTCATTCACATAAGGACCTGGCCAACCCCAGTGTGCGCTCCCAACACAGGGGCCATAAAACCTCCCCGTGTCCCATCTCCCTGCTGCAAACCCCTACGAGCACCCCTCTGTGCCATCCCTGGTGCATTCAACCCCTCTCCCTCGTCCCTGCAGGGCTGTGGTCCCTGGAGTACAAGCAGGAGCTGAGCACCCCGCTGTGCATCGCCGCCAGCCATGGCCACACCGCCTGCCTGCGTCACCTCCTGCTGCGACGCGCCGACCCCAACCTGGCCCCGGGGGGCCACACGCCCCTGCACGAAGCCTGCCGGGGGGGGCACACGGACTGCGTGGAGCTGCTGCTGGAGCACAAGGCGGACCCCAACCTGCAGAGCGACGAGGGGCTGGCCCCGCTGCACCTCTGCACCACCCGCGGCTCCTTGGGGTAAGGAGAGGTCCCCGTCCCGTCCCGTTTCACCCCAAAATAAACACCCCGCCGTGCATCCCCACATGCAATGCCAGCACCGTGCCATGGTCCCTGCAAAGCCACCCTGCAAAGCTCTTGCCTCTCCTCCTGGCTCAGCACAGCTGAAATTCTAGCTCCTGCTTCAGGGCGTCCTTCCTCACTGCTGCCAGCAGCGTCCGAGCTGGCACAGGGATGCTCACAGCACTGGGAGAGGGCTTCGCTCTTGTGCTCTGTGGGTTTACCTTGGCTCATCTCAGGCCACCTCAGTTTATATCACCCCGTGCATCTGCTCCCGTTCACCTGCAGCGGTGCCAGCACTTCAGACACAGGCGTAAACGTTGCCTTTAAAAATACGCGTGTTTGCCCTCGCCGTGGGCTTTGTGCGCGCGCGCCTGTGTCTAGTTTCAGCCCAGTAGGACTTTAAGTGCCTGAATCATTAGGCCCAGGGAATCGGGATTTTAAAAAGAGCTCGGCCCCTTGATATCCTGATGAAACTGCTTAGGGCTGTAGCGAATTTCATTGCCTGCCAGCTTCAGTGAAAAGCCACCCTGGCTTCAAACCTCTCCCCTTTAGGCAGGCGGCGAGCTTAAATAGAAGTAGGTGTTGAAGGCAAGGTTCCCACTACAGATCCCACGTATTGTGGGCCAGATGTCAGATATCTGTTCAAGCAGGAGCTCTGCGAGAGAAAGGCAGCCGGAGAGGAAAAGGTTTTCAGACATAAATATCTCAAACCCATCGCACAAATAAGAGCCTCTGCAAGACAGCAAATGGCATTAACTGCTCAGCCCAAATCCCGGTGTTAATCAAACGCATCCTCGACGTGGCGAGGGCTGTGCCGGCGTGCACAACACGGATCGCTTGAATTAAAATGTGGAGCATGAGCCGATGGTCTCCCAACCGTGGCATCAGCCTTGGGGGGTATTTGAAGAGCCCCAGACTTACTCTAACCCCTGGGGAAAAGGAGGAGAGGGCTCAGAAACCATCCCCTCACCCCACAGAGGTCCGAGAGGCTGGACAGGCACTGTCTGGCTCGGATGAAGTGCTGGGAGCATCCCATCGTCACCAGTCGGGATGTTATTTCCCCCGTAACGGTGGAGGGGGATGGCAGGTGAGCCAGCAAACGGCAGCACAGGGACCGGGGCGATACGGCGTGGAAACAGCTGAGTTATAAGCCCTTGAATATTGGGGCTTTATAATGGAAATGCTGAGAGACCCTTAACTACGCTACCCAGCGCTACGGGGGCTTCTACAATAACTAAGCCAACTCCCTTGAAAGATCAAAAATTAATAGACATTTCAGACAGGTTTTGAGGTTTCGACCACTGCTTTTCAATTGCAAAGACTTTGCTAAAGTTAGAGACTGAGGAGGTCAAGCTTTAGGTAACACAAACATTTCCTCTTTGATTAGGGGGAGACTACTTTACCCTGCCTATTTTTTTTTTTTTTTAAGTAGTAGATTTTAGGTCATCCTTAATTTTTTACTGACAATAAAGAGCAGGTCATTGACCTACATAGAGAGCTATTTTATTTTTCTCCCTCTTGATAACAATGGCCAGAACACCTATGTGCCGGGTTCTTCTGTATTCCCATATACTCGGCAATTCACCATGGGGGCAGGACTTAAAACCTTTGAGCCTCTCAGTGACTGGGATAAAAAAAATTATCTGGGCTTCCTTCCAGCCATTTGAGCTTCAGAATCCATGAGATTTCAACAAAAAGGATATCAGAGCTTTAATCTAGGAGCTTTTTGAAGAGATTTAAAAAAAAAAGTTCCAGTAAAGTTCAGTCTTACCTTCTTCACTTTAGGAGCTGTTCATGCCAACGTCGTCCTATTTAGTAGAGTTCCTCTCCTTGACCTCTTTTTTACAGCAGAGATAATTAACATGGTGGGGTAAGATGAGTCTCTAAATTCACTGCACTCTCTCCCAGGCTCTCTCTCGTTTCCCTCTAAAGCTGGGATGATTAAAGGAGAGTGCCTTTATTGGCACCCCAAAAAAATTACAATAAAAATGATTGAGGGGGAGAGGAAGAGCCTCAGCTCGTGGTGGGGCAGCAGGAAGATGTGGGGGACTTGGTGGGGGGCACAGGACATAGCCCCCAGCTCCCATCGTGGCACCCCTGGCAAAAAGGATGGCAGAGTCGGCTGCAACTAGAAGGGGAACGCCACCGGGACACCGGAGCTTCCAAACCACAGAGGCTCTTTGGCTGTCCAGTTTGGCTTTGTGTAGGAGGCATTACCACAAATTAAATAAAATAAAATAAATAAAAAGGACCGTGGGTTTTAAAAGGCAGCATTTAGCATCATCTAGTGCTAAAGCGAGTGCTCTGCTCCATTTAGAATACAAAACTCAGAGCACTTAGGGCTGCTGCTTTTGGAGTTTGGTCCCACAAAGGAAAGCCGTCTGTCTGTCGGGTGTCAAGTGGGAAGGAAGGAGACCAAAAGTGGGCATGGTACACAAGGACAGCACGCCCAGGTCCTGGGGATCACAGTCCTCATGCCTGCTGGCAGGGGGACAGGACCCACCTTGAGCTTTGGGGAAGGAGAGAAGGAGCCACTCCGCAGGCGTGGATGTTGGAAGCAAAAAGGAGCTCTTTGGAGAGCACCCGCAGCACTGGCATCTGCGCTATTGGCTGGTGAAGAAGGAAAATAAAACCCAAATCCTTTCTCCTACTTGAACGCCCGAGTCGCCCCAGGAACCAAGTGCAAGGTGAGCTGTGGTAACAGCAGTTAGTACAAATCTGCGTCTATTTGAGCACAAGTGGCTTTCACGAGTGGTGAGACATCCAGGTGTGTTACCCGACCCCTGCCACTGTGTTAGGAAGTGGTTGGAAGGGAGCAGAAATTAGCCAAAATTAGGCACAGCTGATGTACATTGAGTGTATCTCCTAAGGGCTCACTGCATGAGTATCGCTGATGCTGGCCACCTGCCCTGCCTGCCCAGAGATGGTCCCAGGATGGGTGGAAAAGGAATCAGTTTCCTTTGCTTTAAGTCTTGCTGAACTGAAGCCATGGTTCTTGCAATATTCCTGGAAAAACGGGGTATGGAGGAGCCCCAGAAAGCAGCAAGTTTAACTGAGCCTGATGCAATGGGAGTTTAGTCTGCCTCTATGGTGAACAACGCAGCGTAAATAAAATAAAATAAAATAAAATAAAAAAAACAAGCAGCCAGAAATGCTGGCAAAGTGTTAGGAAAGTATGAGTTCAGCAGCAGAGATTAGAGGCTAAAATAAGAGCATATAGCCAGCAAACATGAATGGCATCTCCCCTCTCCATGGCCCCAGGCAGGCCGCTAAGCAGCACCTGCTTTTGCCCCATACATTGAAACAGGAGGCGCGTGCCCCTCACAGAGGCCCACAATTTCCAGAGGAGATCACCCCTTATTTATAGCCCCTCACCACCCTTCCCTTCTGTGCTGAGGGAGGAGCATCCAGGGGAAAATTCAGAATAAAACAACTTGGGCTTCCTCCAGGAGGTTGGATGAGATGAAGCCATCGATAACGAAAAAGAGTCACTGATCTGCAAAAGTAGCACTTTTTCCCAGGAGGGGATTCCACAACAATCTTTCCAGATGAATATTTGGGCTGTGGAGAGGAGTTTAGCTCCTTGCAATTCCCACCTGCTCCGTGGGATGTGGCCCCTGCAGCACAGCTTTTCCCCACTGTCCCCTTTCCCCACACCAAGGATGCTACATATTTTGCACCCAAGTCAGAAATATTTTTTTCCCATGTTTTTTCCCTGCAGAGCCGTTAACTGGCTCACCCAGAGTACGTTATTTTAGGATGTCAGAGCTGGACACGGTGTTAGCATTAAGGCAACCCAGAGAGGTCCCAGGAGAGTCGTTATAATTAGGGTTACAAATTCCTCGCCGTCAAGAACAGGCAAGACTGGTAATCAAGGTGTGATTTGCTCCAGCAAAAACAAAGTCTTACTGACCATCAGCAGATTGCAAGAGCCAAAAAAAAAAAAAAAAAAAAAAAAAAAAAGAGAGAGAGAGTGAGACAAGCCATTACTTGAAAAGGGATTCTGCACATTTTAGAGTGAAAGGGGAATTGTAAAGTACGTGCAACAGCTTTTGGGCAAATTCAGTCATTTACAAAACACAACAGAGACAAGTATGCACGATGACCAGCCCCTGAGCTCATCACCTGCATTGCCAGGCAATGTTTTTTGCAATGTCTCAGTTTGGAGAACAGCTATTTTAGGTGAACAGTCTCAAACGTCAGTGAAGGAACGGTGGGCAGAAAATATCGAGCACCAGATTCTCATACACGCTGCAGCCTCAAAACCAAACCTTGTACACTCAGCCTCAAAGCCAAGTTATTATCACTATTATCAATATTATCACTCTAATCAATATTTTTACTATTATTACTATCTTCCCCACATAAGTTACCACTCATCTGGGCCAGGCAGAACGAGTACTTCCCTCACACCCTTCTTCCTCCCCGGGGCTCCTCTTCCTCCCCATTCCTCCTGCCATAGGAAGAGTTCAGGGCTCTGCTCCCATACTGCTCCCCCTCATTTTGCTCCCCCACCTGTGCAGATCCCCACTGGGGGCCCTGGAAGACCCCTGAGCAGAACGAGAAGTGTTTTAGAGGAGAATAAAGCTGGCCAGAGCTTCCTGAAGGCTGCTTGCCTCCCTGCTGCTGATGCTACCTGGGGGAGGACTGCTCTTCCCACCTCCCTGGGAGGGAAATGTGCGTGCTCAAAACATTTTACAGGTCTCACGCCCCCCTGAACCTGCCTCCCCACTCCTGACTGCTGAGGGTTGCTTATCTTGGAGTTATTCCTGCTCCATCACCCCGCAGGTGCGCCAAGCTGCTGCTGAGACACGGGGCTGCCGTCGACCTGCCCAGCGAGGAGGCCGGCGAGACGGCGCTGCACGTGGCGGCGAGGCACGGCCTCTACGACCATGCCCACCTCTACCTGCGGCACGGCGCGCGGGTGGATGCCCGCAGCGCCCGGGAGGAGACGGCCATGGGCGTCCTCTGCAGCCACGCGCCCACCACCACCACCACCACCAGTGGTGGCGACGACGACGACCTCCTGCGGCTCTGCCGGCTGCTGGCCGCCCACGGCGCCGACCTGGACGCCCGGGACGAGGGGCACCGGAGCCCCCTGCACAAGGCGTGTGGGGCCGCCAACGCCGCCCTGGCGCGGTTCCTGCTGCGGCGCGGGGCCGATGTCAACGCCATTGACTACGACGGGCTCTCGCCGCTTGGGCTGCGCGCTGCAGGCCGCGGCCCTCCGCAGGGAGCGCAGGCCACACCGGGCCGTGCAGCTGCTGCTCAACCACGGGTCGCAAAAGATATGGCCCCCCGCATTCGCCAAGGTACCCCCGGAGTGACGGGGTGGGTCAATGACACTGGGGGGGTTGGAGGGGTTGGGGTTGGTGAGGGTGAGGGTGGGTGGATGCAGACAGGGGGTCAAGGGTGGGATGAGGATAGTGATGGCACAAAGGGTAGAAATTAGAAATTAGGGTTTTTCCTGCCTATCAGAATCACTTAGGTTGGGAAAGACCCTTAAGATCACAAGTAAGTCCCATCGCCAAGCCAAGTCCCTCAGTGCCACGTCCACACACATCCTAACCACCTCCAGGGATGGGGACTCCACCACCTCCCTCTCCATCCCTAGTTCTTCCTAACGCCCAATCTAAGCTTCCCCTGGTGCATCTTGAGGCCTCACATCCTAATGTCACAGCCTTGGCGCACCAGCCATCAGCGCAGTCTGGTTAGTCAATGAGTCTGCGTCTCATTGATTTTACACCCAACAATAAAGAAAATATTATCCCGGCTTCTCACACACAAGCCAAAAATGTAAATGAGAAGCAAGTGCCGCATCCAGACAAAGCCTGCTTCTTTGCCCACCACTAGGTGCTCAAGTCCTGTGCGGCCGTGCCAGAGATCATCGAAGTCCTCATCAACTCCTACTCGCAAATCCCCATCTCCGAGAAGTGGGCCGAGGTCGTGCCAGAGGAGGTGATGCAGGTGAGGATGGTGTGTCTGGGGTTTTGGCCTCATGGCACCGAAATGGGGGTCCTGGGATGGTCTCCTGATCTAGGGGTGAAGCTGTAAATTCCTTCTCTGAGGAAAACTGAAATGCCATCATGAGTGGGCAACTCCCAGGTGGTCAGACAATCCAGAACAAAGAGGTTCCGGGACAGAAATTAAAACACGCAAAGCTTGAGTGGGAAAAAATAATAATTAAAAAATTAAAAAATAAAGCTAGTTCTAATCTAATGGTTAAAGTCCACCTCAACACAGCACTCCTGCATCATCTCAGCAGCTTTGCACCACTGTAACTCCCTCAGCCCCCAAACCACCACTGGTCTGAGAAAAAACACAACACAAATGTCTGGAAACCCAAGAGGCAGACCGCTGCCCTACAGTACCCCTGCTCAGCTCTTCTTGGTTTTAGAAAACTTGAGAGCTGTCCCCAGCCAGTGCAACAAGTAGGGCCACCCCACTGCTGAGTTAACTCAGATCCCTGTCTTGCCCCTGCAGCAATTTGGGTAGCCTGTCTGCGAGAGGGCCGCTGCCAAAATGCGCGTAATACACCTCAGTATGTTCTGGGGGGCGTGAGAAATGATTTTATTCTGAGCTGGGAAAGGCTGAGGCTGCACAGCCTGTTTCTGCCTTCTGCCTTCGTGTTTCCCATCTGAGAAATGAGCGGGTCAAGCAAAAGCAAAGCTCTACAGCTCTCTGCAGCGCTGCTGCTACTGGTGGAGGACACAAAACCATCCCCGTCCTCCCCACGCAGGGAGCTGTAGCAGCGTACATGGACCCCCTAAGCCATGGGCAAACGACGGATTTCTTACCTCCTCCCCTTCGATCTCCAGCTCTGGCTTGCTTGGCTTAACTGGATAAAACATTAAAAAAAAAAAAAATGCTTATTTTTTTCTCTGCCTCCCTCTTTGCAGCAACACCGGTTATTCTACGAGTCCTTTTTCCGGCTGTCAGGGCACAGTCCGGTGCCTGCAACACTTGTGCCGCTTCGCCATTCGGAAAAAGTTTGGCAACAAATGCCACTGCCTGATCCCCCTGCTGCCTGTGCCCAAGCCCTTGCACGACTACCTGCTGCTGGAGCCCGAAGGAGTCGTGTTTTGAAGGGCTGAGAGACGCCAGCCGAGCTCCGCCGAGCATCCCTCCCTTAACTCATCCTCCCGTGGTGTATTGCAGCAGCATCCATTTCTGTCAGCCAGGCTAAGGAGCGACTGTTTTCATGATAGATTGTTGTTTCCCAGGGATTTATAACGTAACTAAAATGTGCTTCGAGCTGTAACTTTGTATAGATTTTTTTTCTAATTGTGCTTTAAATAGATTATAAAGAGTAATAAAATGATTAGTAGCTGCTACAAGTACGCTGCGGATATGAATAATATTCATTACGAAGGCTCTCACGAAGCGGCGGGGCTCCTCAGGTGTGCAGAGGCAAGCACAAGCAGCAGACCACTAAAACCAGCCGCCGGGGGCCTCACACCCCTCTGGGTGGGCTCCCCTTGGGACCAGGACGAGCAGCGCTGCCACTATGGGTGCAGCACAGAGGCCACCAGCAGGATGCTTTACCCAGGAGCGTTAACACAGACCATAAAACTGACCGAAATCAGCTGAAACCTCGCAGGCTGCTGTTGGTGTACCAGCCACCGAGCCAGGGCTGGCCATTTCTTGCCCCAATTTCACCACGGCACCCCCGTGCCCATCGCACCTGCACCCAGGGAGCACAGCCCACGGGAGCTGGGGCTTGATTTTGCTTCATGAAAGGCACCTGGAGCAGAGAGGATTTGCTTTCCCAGCCCCCTGGCTCCCCAAATTAATTTCTGTGGTGCCAAAGCGAGCGTGCGCATGTGCCCCTTGGAAGAGCAGCTGGCCTCCTGTTCGCAGCTCTGCCACGGCGCTCGCCAAATTGCTCCGCTGCTTAATTATACTCCCTAGTAAAATAAATAAATAAATAAATAAAAATTAAAAAGGGAAGGAAATGCAGCCTTTTCGTGTGGTCGGCACACCCCTCCTCTACTCACCTGTGGGTTATCCAGCCCGGGTACCCACAGCTGGAGCAGGCAGCAGGGAGATGGGGAGGGCAAGGAAATTCTTCCCCGACTTTCCACCTGCTGCGCTTCCCTCGCCCTCCTGGGCTGCTCGGTGCCCCCACACCGAGACCCAGCACCCCACCGCTTCGGTGGCAGCTTCACCTCGCCGTTTTGTGTCAGTCCCTTCCTTGGAAGGGATTTACAGCACACTGGTCCTGGCTAAACCTCAATTTTGGTGCCTCTGATGAGGCTTTCATCTTTTGTGCGGGAAGAGCGGCACGTTTTGCATCCCTACGGGGCGACTTTGCATGGAGATAGAGTCCCACCAGGTGCCCGCAGCCTCCCCCAAAAAACATGACCTGGGCTCGCTTTCCTGCAGCTGGGGGAAAACAAATCCACATCAAAAGGAGGAAAAAAAAAAGAAAAAAAAAAGAAAAAAAAAAAAAGGAAAAGAAAAGGAAAAAGAAGAAAAAATAAAGAAAAAAATAGGGGAAAAAATAATTAAAAAAAAGAAAAAAAATGGGGGAAACCTTAAAGAAACCCCAGCACGCGTGGGGTCGGGGAGGACACGCGTGGTGTAGGGGCTGCGGTCCCCACGCGTGTCCGCGGCGCCGGGTGCGCGGCTCCCCGCGGCCCGCAGGGGGCGCGCTGGGCACGGCGCCGCGCACAGGCACCGGGCTGCGAGGGGGCGGGGGATAAATGAAAAATAAAAATAAAAATAAATAAATACGCAGAATAAAGTAAGAAGATAAACACGGAAATAAAAGAATAAAATAAAATGTGATAAAGTAAAATGAAACAATAAGGTAAAATAAATAAAATAAAATAAAATAAAATAAAATAAAATAAAATAAAATAAAATAAAATAAATGAAATTAAAAAATGAAATGAAATAAAATAATAAATTAAATTAAAAAGAAAATAATAAAATATAAAATTTAAAAAAAGAAAAATAATATGTATATGTTAAAAAAAAAAAAGTAAGAAATCCACTCTACCTGGAAAAAAAATAATAATAATAATAGGGAAGATAGTTTTGGTTTTTGATTTTTTTGTTTGTTTGCTTTCTGGGGGTTTTATTTCCTTTTTTTTTTCCCGTCCTGCCGCCGGGGTGGGATGCTCTGGGCCCCGCGAAGAGTTGGCAAGTTGGGGAAAGGCGCCCAGTGTTTGATGCAGATGTTATGGGAAGGGCTCATTTTTTTTTATTTTTTTTTTTCGGCAGCCAAAGACAGGAGGTCACATTAACTTGTAATACGGAGACGCATAAAAACGCGATTATGACTGCTAAACAGAACGCAGTAGGCTGCTAGTTAAGACAATGAGATTTCCAGGAAGCGATGCATAAATTCTTCAAAAATGACACATTTTTCACGTTTCATTCCAATTAAATTACTGAGGCAGCTAACGCAGCGCTGCGCACACGAGGCATTTGGGTGAAATGAAGGCTTTCCGGGAGGGGTTTTATTATTTTTTTTTCTTTATTATTATTTTTAATTTTTTTTTTTTTTTGTATTTTTTTCCCGAGGTCTTTCTGGACGCGCGTGGTTTATGGGACTCGCTTAACACTGAGCTGCTATTAGGGGAAAGCATCAGGGACCTTCTCTCCCGGCGGCGGGGCCGGGGTTTTCCCTCCCTGCACCCCCCGTGGGGCGGCTCCGCGATCGTTTCCCACGGGTGGGGAGGTCCCGAGTGGGTTTCCCACGCTCGGCTGCGGGGGGGGGTGCGCGGGGTCCTGGGGGGGCTCCGGGTCTCGGGGTCGGGTGGGGTCGGGTTTTGGGGTCCCGTGGGGTGGGGGGGACACGCGTGGGGTCGGGGGGACGAGGAGGGGGGGTTAATCAAGCCCCGAGCTGCCCCGGTAATGAAGCGGCGTTTGATTTGAGAAGCGGAGGCACCGCGCACGCTGCAGCGAGGCGGGCGATCCGCAAAGCAATCCAAATCAGAAATGAGGTTTTTGAAGTCCTAATGAACCTGATTGCACGAACATTTATAATCCCCCATGGCTTTAAATGAAATCAGATATAATCAGGAGCTATGGGGAAAGGGAGTGTTTACAGGCAGAGATTGGGAAGTGCTGCTGTATTAGTAAAGATGCTGCTCCTTCTATTGATGTCTAAAATGATGGATAATGTGAGAATGGCAAATATACTATTTGTCTAATGGCTCTGCAATTAAATTCCCCTGTAAATGACCCATGCCTCATTTCATCCTAATCTATGGAATTTTGATTGAATTCGTCAGCTCTAATTGAAAAATACTGCACTTTAATGTCTGCAGTGCAGTTTCAGGACCGCGGTGGTTTTAATGAGACGGTGCCCCCCTGACCCGGGAATATTTTAGACTTTTATTCGGGGTTTTAAACCGGCAGGTTTCTGCGCTACGGCGCCCGAAAAGCGGCGATCTGTGTGCGTGTGGGTGCGGGTTGGCACCGCTAGAGAGGAGCCCTCCGCACCGCCGCGCTTCGCCGAGGTCCCCTTCGGAGCTCCTCAAATATTTTGGCTCCGGATATCAGAACACGTAGAAATTGAGAAGAAAAGCAATAAAAAAAAAAAAAAACCCGCAGCCCCTCATCCGAACGAATTTCGGGCTGTTAAGCGGGGTTACCGGAGCCGGGTCTCTTTCTTTTTTAAGCAAGAAAAAGCGGGGCACGGCGGCGTTTTCCTCCTTTTAGCATCCTCTTCCCACAGCGAGCATCCCGGGGAGGGGGAGCGCCGGGCGGCGCCTTCAAGTTTGTTAAAAAAAAAAAAAAAAAAAAAAAAGAAAAAGAAAATAGAAATAAATAAATAGATAGATAAAATAAAACCATATACCAATAAATAAATAAATAAATAAACACACGCCCTTAAAAAAAAAAAAAGGGGGGGGAAAAATGAAAGAAGACAAACGCATCACCACCAAAAAAATAATAATAATTTAAAAAATCAGCGCCTCGCGCCTTTCCCAGCCCGAAATGAGTTCAAACGGGAACCTGCGAGGGAGTTTAATGGGATTAAGCGACCGAGGGCTTCCCTCCCCGCCTGCAAAGCGAGGGGGCGGAGGGACGGGGGGGCGGCTTCCCGGGGAGCCCCCCACGGGCACGCGTGGGGCATCCCGCTCCCCGCGCCCCCCTCCCGCCGCAGCCCTGCCCGCCCTCCCCAGCCCAGGGGCTCCCTGCGAAAAGGGATTTTTTTTTTTTCCACATTTCCCGTGTAATTAAACATTTCCCCGGGGGAGGGGGAGGGTCTCGCAGGAGTCACCTCGGGGGGGCTCTAAAAGACCCTGATAAAGCCACCGGGACCGCCCTGCCCCACCTGCAGCCCCCATGGGAGGATGGAGCTGACCCCATGCACCCCAAAAAAACCCACAGCACATGGGGTGGGGGTCCTAACCTCACCGGGGGCGTCCTGACCACACCAGGGGGGTCCTGACCACTGAACCCCCCCACAAAGGGGCCCAAGCTCCCCCTGATGCGTTTCCCCCTCCACTGCGCCCACGGTTACTTGCTGCAGAAAGCTCCTTCTCCTCCCTGTGCTGGCTCTTTTTTTGGGGAAAAATCCCTCTTTTTATGCACTTCACAGCCTCTCCCCCCTGTCCGGGCAGCAGCTGGAGTGGGAGCCCCTCCCAAAATCCTCCTGTTTAAAGCATGACCCCCTACCCCTTGGCGAGAAGGCTTTTGGGGACCAACCCCCCCCAGGGGCCGCCTGGCCCCCAGGTGGTGCGGGACCCTCTCCAAGCATCACCTCCGTGCCGGGGGGTCCCCAAAACGCCCCTTCCCACCCTGTGCCCACTCTCGGACCCCCAGAAAGGCCCCTGCTGCGTGGGCCCAGCCGTGGGGGCCACCGAGGGTCCCCCCTGCCCCACTTCCCAGGCACGACCACGCTCCGGTTGCTGCTCCGACAGCCAGCGATCGCCGGCGTTTCTGCAGCGGAGAAAAATCAGCTAATTATGTGCCGAACAAAAGCCTATTCTCGCCCGAAATAATACGCCCGTCTTGCAAAGGCACTTGTTTGTGGGCAAATTTTGAAGAGGGCTGACAATAAAAAACAGCTGCAGGAGCTGGGTGTTGGTACACATCGCCATGCCCCGGCACATTACCGTGCCTAATTATCTCCCAGATCCTCCATCCGAGGCTGTTTCCTGAAAAAAAAAAAAAAAAAGACTTTATTTTTTATTTTTTTTTAATTCTGTTTTTAAATTTTCTGTTGAAACGATGACTTGCCAGCACAGATTTGCTTCTCCCCAAGCTTTCGGAGCCCGCTCTGGACACTGGGGGATGGAGAAGGGGTTTCCCCATTTTGGGGGGATGGAGAGCAGGATCCCCACTGCTGTGTAGGGTGGGCTCAGGACCACGGG